AGCACTGTCATCTGCTTTAAGTAGGAGTTTGCACTTTGACACTGATAGGCAGATCATTGACATAACATAAGAATAATAAGGGACCCAAAATATACCTTGGGGAACCCCAATGTTATCGGCAGGGGTTCTGATTCTGTTTTGTTGATTTTGACTTTTTGTCTCCTGTTGCTAAGGTAGGACTTAAACCAGTCTACAGAACCTATACCGATAGCTTGAAGTTTATTACATAATATATTGTGGTTGACAGTATCGAAGGCCTTTTGCAGGTCAAAGGTTACCATACCCATGAGGTTCCCTTTGACATTTCAGTTCTCAGGTAATCCATCAGATTAATAAGGGAGGTGTCGGTTGAGTAGGATCTTCTAAAGCCGATTGATAGCTATGGAGATGTTGTTGTCATTAAGGTACTTAACTACTTGAGAATACACCGCCCTCTCTAGAATTTTTAGATATTATATGAGTATACTAACAGGCCTATAGTTTTCTTACATCAGACCTACTATTTTTCTTGAAGATAGGAGTAACTCTGGCCTCCTTGAACCCCTCCAGTACGGTATTAGTGGTGATTGATAGATTTATTATGTGAGCAATAGGGATTGACAGTTTTAGAAGCACCATCTTTAGGAACTTAGATGGGATATTATCAGGGCTGTGCTCTTAGTTGGGTTTAACCTGCTTAGTTCTTTTTGAATAAAGTCATGAGATACACTTAATAGTTGACAACTGTTTGGGGTTACCCCCTTTAAATTTGGGATAGTATGTTTGAAACTTATCAGAGTCTGTGTTAAAGGTATTTGATGCAGCTGGTAGTTTACTTACTAGTGTTGATGCAACAGATGTGTAGTATGAATTAAAGCAATTTGCCACCTTAGATGTTTCATGGCATACCTCATTATCGATAGTGAGTACTATGTTAGACCTATCTACTGGCTTATGGCTATACCCCAAATGTTTTAGTTGTTGCCAGAGCTTTCTGGGGTTATGCTTATACTCTTCAATTTTTGAGCAATTGTGCTTGCCTTTGCTCCTTTTATAAGTCTCTGTACTCTGTTCCTCACCCTTTGGAATTCATTTAGTGCTGCAATATCCTGTCTGTTTGCTTTAAATCTTTTTAGCAGCTGGTCTCTGAATTTCATATTATCTAATATCTCAGTATTCATCCAGGGTTCAGTTCTTCGTTTAATCCTAACCTCTTTAACTGGTGCAATATTATCAAGGATGGTAGTGAACATTGTTTTGAATTTTTCCCAGGCATCGTTTACGTCCGTGCTTGAAGTAATTTTGTAGTGTCTGCTTGTATTTTTGCAATTGCTGCATACGTTGGAGTGTTGCTAGTAGGTTTTTTCTTTGCTGCATCTTGTGTTTTCTTCATAATATCCTTTCTTGTAGGACATTTTGCTGCCAGTGTATGGTGATCATTACTCTTGCAGTTTAAGCACACTGGTTGTGTTGGAGCAGCAGCTGTGCAGGAACTGAAGGTGTGTCCCTCACTACCACATGTAGTGCAGAACTTCTTGTCTTTTACTGGACATGCTTTGGTGGTGTGATGGTATGAATAACAGTTCCAGCAATGTTGGATGTAGTGATATCTCACTGCATCAATGTAGGTAGGGCTGATGTAGTAGTAGTAGACAGCAAGACCTTCGTTCAGTGCAGTGGCAGCCATGTTCATGTCGGTGAAGGTGACCTTGATCATGGACGTTGCATTTGGGATTTTTGTAATGTTGTCAACAGTAGCCCAAGTATTTTGCGTCTCAATGGATGACTTGAGTTCAGCAGGTGTTTGAGACGTCAGAGATGACATAACAGTAAACCCTTGAGTAGTAAGAGTAGTGATGGCTTCTGTAGTGAGTAGCTTCTCTGCTTCAGCATCATCGTGACACACAACAATGAATGCTTCTTTCAGCGACAATATGGTGTTGAATTTTACTTTCAGTGCTCCCTGAACAACAGTTGCAAGAGCAATCTTCGTTGAATCATCAACGGTACCATTTCTTGGTTTGATCTTTACACGATTTGCGTAGCTCATCGTGTAAGTCAAGGCGATGACAACGTTGGTAAAGGTTCCCCTCCCCAACGGGGATCGTAGAGAGACAGAGTAAGTAAGGAGAGCTGCTATGACCTGCCTGGGCGAGAGTCAAGAGCAGAATCATTTTCTGACCATAAACCTGAAACAAAAAAGCTATTTTCTCTATATAGATTACCACACATAGCAGCATATGTGTAGAGAACCTAGGATAACCCAAAAAAGTCAGACAACGTGGCTTATTTCTAGTACCTGGCTTGGGTTAGCCATATATGATTTTTGGTAAATATTTGATTCCCAGCCAGGATAGAAACATTGGGCGTGTTTCTTTACACCTATTGTTTATGTTCACCCATCAGTAAATGGGTACCTGGGTGTTAGTCGACTGGTGTGGGTGTTATCCTGGGACACTGACCTAATTTGCTTGAAATACTCAGCATAACAAGTGGCTTTCCATATAGTAGTATGTCACTGATGTCAGCTATGTCTGTATCCCATGTACATGTACGTGTAGTAAATTAATATTATTATTATTATTATTAGTTATTTTCTCATTTGTTTGTTGGGTTATCTTACTGAAACTTGGGCAATGTATGATGGAAAGATATTTCTTAATGTACACCAAAAATGAAAGAAATCAGACCATAAATAGCAGAGTTCACTTCTCAGCCGCTAAATAAATAGCAGAGTTCACTTCTCAGCCATTAGCGGCCACTTAGCGGTATATTTTTGTATGTTTTTTATGGTTATATTCTCGTTTTTTCGGTCTCATTTGACAGAATGGAAGATATATTACAGAAATAGATATGATTTTGATTGCTTACATGACGAAAAGTACCTTGAAATTGCGCTCACAGTAGCAGAAAAGTTCTATTCTTTAGCGATGCTCGAGTAAACAAATGGTGTCACCGTCCAATACCTGTCCGCCTTCCAGTCCAAATTCCAATATGCAGTGAAGAATGGGTTGACATTATTTATACAATTACAATAATGCAGTAGTCTGCATAACAGTAAATCTATTTTTCTGTGTGAATAAAAATTCCAAATGGTAAGCAAGAGTAATATACGAGGGAACAGAGAAAATGTTATTTTAGTGCCAGGAATATCTGCATTGTCTATTCTGGACCCTATTTTGAAATTGGCATCTGTGAAATTGGCCAAATTGCCAATTTCTGACCACTTTATTGGGTAGTTGAAATAGGTGAATGGGCGGTTTCTTGTACTCAGTCGACAGACTAGAAGTAAGTTTATTCAGGTACTATACACAAATACAGTTACATAGATTATCATACATAGCAGCGTATGTATAGAGAACCTAGGATAACCCAAAAAAGTAAGACAAAGTGGCTTATTTCCACTACCTGGCTTGGGCTTGCCATGATTTTTGGTAAATATTGTTTTTTCTCAGTTGTTTGTTGGGCTATCTCATTGAAACTTTGGCAATGTATGATGGAAAGATGCTTCTTAATGTACATCAAAAATAAAAAAGACGGACGATAAATAAGGGAGTTCACTTCTCAGCCATTAGCCACCTCTTTGTGGTATATTTTCATATGGTTATTATGGTTGTATTCATGTTTTTTTGGTCTCATTTGATAGATTGGAAGATATATTACAGAAATAGACACGATTTTGATTGCTTTCATGATGAAAAGTACCTTGAAATTGAGCTCAAAGTAGTGGAAATGTTCAATTTTTGCCGATGTTCAATGAACTTTGTGCAAGTCAAGTTGGTTAATTTTATTAAGTGTATTCTAGCCTAACAACTCTGTAATTCGGCAAACTCAGTAGTCCGGCACACTACATGTCCCAATGATGCCGGATTTGTGATGGAGAACCTGTAATGCCTCCCTCACCTGTGGTGTTTGAATCCTGGGTTGGTAACTGGATCTTCTTTGGTTGCCATAACCCCTGGCCACTGACAGTGTTTCAGACGGATTGTAAGCAATGGGTAATGGGCAGATGCTGAGAAGTTTCACTTTGCCTAGCAGTGGAGTAGGTGGTGGTAACAAGTTTTCTTAGTAGGTAATATAGTGGATTTTTGGGCGATTTCTGCAGCTGATTTATATCACTCTGGGTCTCCACATATATTAGTGTTATGTGAGTCTTTACTAGGCCATCACGGGGTTGTTAGGAATCTCTGGTAGAAGTAAAACAGAGTAGCAAGGATCTTGCTGCAGCTGCTGCTGCTTCCTGGAAGGTGTGAATGATGATGAAAGTGTTGAATGACAGTGAAAGTGTTTCCTTCTTTTTTGGGTCACCCTGCCTCGGTGGAAGATGGCCAACATGTTAAAAAAAAAAAATTCTAATATTCCTCAAGTTGGCATTAATTGCTTGACGTTTTACATATTTTTGTTACAGAAACAATAGATTCAGGAAAAGACAATTCAGAGTAAAATTTTTGTAGAGTATATTACAAATGCAGTAGATATACAAGTCTGATTACAATGACACCTTGGGCAGAGCACACAGAAAATCAATACATATATATACCACAGGTTCTCCTAGCTATATGTGGATTTGCTTTATGCATATTCACTATTCTGTGATGTCCTATTTCTATAGTAGGTCCACATATTTGATATACATGTACACTTGTTGTATGTTATTAGTGTGGGTTCACAAAGCATTCTGAAGATTCTTATTATACTGTATAGCATTCAGTGATTATGGTATGAGTGAGCTTAGTATAGATGCCATGGGCTTGGCATGCATCCCCCTCAAGGAAGGTTCCTTGATGTTGGTGAGGGGCTTTTGATTTAGGGAATTGGATCTGTGCTCCAGTTCCCCGAATTAAGCCTGAATGCCTTCCACATCCCCCCCCCCAGGCGCTGTATAATCCTCTGGGTTTAGCGCTTCCCCCTCGATTATAATAATAATAATAATAATTGGCATGCATCTACAGCATAAAACAAGGGACATCTACATACGCTCATACGTACATACATATAAAGAAAGAATATTAATAAATTACCTTCCTCACTGCTAGACTCTGAATCACTAAGCTGCATAATCCTTGTTCGTTTCATCTTGGGTGCCTCATCACATTTCCCTTTTTTCCTCTTATTCTTTCCTCTTTGCTGTTGTGCCTTGTTAGATTACATAAAGAAAAATATTTTATAATACCATCACATTTAATCAACATTTATTACAACTATATGAGAGCATCAGAAATCTGCAATGCTTAGGACTAAGCCATACCCAAATTTCTGATAATTCTTGGCAACCGATCATCATTAACCCCATTATCAAGCGCTAGTCAAACTACACTGTCTGTGTTGCTAACTGCTTGTACACTTGGTTCCTCTTCATTGTAATTCATCTATAGAGGTATACTGAACCTAAATTAAAGTTTTAGCATCAAATTTCCCAAATAACTAATTAATGGATTTCTGATGTTCTACTGTATATCATTTCTTCTAGAAAAAGCTTCTTATTAATTTTATTTGTCAGTATTTCAAAGTACTGCTATACTTCATCAGTAATGACAGCTTCTTATATGGAGATACTATACATAATTATTTACAGTACTACAAGATATTTATAGATTGTTACATAGGTATAATTAAATTTGGCAAAACTAAATAAGTAATATGAACTAAAAACCATAAATATAGCAATTCTGCTCAAAAATTATAGTGAACCACAATTTAATAAAACAGAACTACTAAAAATGGAAAGTAACAGTAAATATGCCTCAGCTGTGGGCTCAAAACTAAATTCAGCTAGGCCATACCTTAATCTTTGATTGTTTTTTTGCTCTTTTTGGTGAAGAGTCCGTATCCACAGACTCGACCTGAGACTCTTTAACAGACTCTTGCAATTCTGTCTCAGAAGATGAGGACACAATGGAATCAGCTTTGACTGGTGAAGATGCACCAGAGCCACTCTTGATTGGTGAGCACTTACTGGACTCTGATTTTGAAGGTGATGTCTTGCTTGGTGACAAAGGTACAGATTCAGCAGCATCTGACTTTTTTACTACAGGTCCTTTGTTGAAAAAAGCTGAGATTCCTCCTTTTGTCTTAGAGCCAGCTGAAGATGGTGTCTTGTTGGATTCAAAGAATATATCAAGATTACTGTATGAACATAAATGAAGTTACTAAGATAAACAGGGCACATCTACACAAGTGAAGCCAAAAAATGCTACACGTCTAGAGTTCGGTCCTACAGATATTGGTAGCTTAGGAACATCACTAAAGTTGTTGATTACGGAATTAAAGATGCATACACCTAAAGGAATGTGTTATTCCATAACACTGCAATCAGAAGATGAAACATCATTTGACACGATCATCAAATCAAGAGGTAGGCCAAGCATTACCTTTCCAGCCACAGGACAGCATCAGATCTAAATACATGGGGTTGTTTTGACAGTTGAAGAATACAGAGAGAAGCTAAATATGAAAACAAAAATGATTCCCAAAAGAAAGGTGTACCAGATACAGAACCTGTTTCAGACATTGATGATCCAAGTGAGATTCATTCTGATACTGATAGTATGAGTGAATAATCTATAATTGATAATGGAGAAATAAATCAACTCAAGAAAACTGTTGAATCATGAATAGGTCACACACTGTTATATAAACAACTGCCAACAGTCAGCGATATAAAGGTGAACTCATTTTATGCGGTGTATTTGGCTACCCCATTTACATATTGGAGGGAAAGTTCTCAAAATTTTCAAAAAAAAAAAAAAAAAAAAAAAAGATTGTGAATTGTTAGATGTTAAGATGAGATTCCTTCAGTGTACTGTTCCTTCCGGTATTCCTAGTAATGTGTGTTGGGATGGGCTCAAGGTAGATGATATTGATATGATAAATGTGTCACATATTTCAGTAGGACCAACTCAGCATCGGGTAGAAAATAGCAACATGGACAGAAACATTTATATTTTGCTGAGGAGGCCCCGGCATAGGATTGCTACAACAAAGTGATTCACCTTGGGCTCCCTTCACATAAAAACTTCCAAGCCACAGTGAATGCAATGGTGTAGAAAAACATGCTCTAAATATTATGAGAAGTGATTTGTAATGATTTAGAATCAAATAATCAGATTTGGATTTTTTGGGTCTTGTTTAGATATTCTAAGTATGTATGTACATAAAACTTTTGGTAATTTCATTACTTTTAGAAGGAAACACAAACAATGTATTTTGGTAGGTCAAGTTTTTATTCTAATATTTTTAAAAATATCTTAGAATGCAGTGCAATAACTTACAAGTGGCAATTTTTTTTTACCCCAAATGAATACATAAGCTATAGGTAGTAGGTTGGTAGACAGCAACCGCCCAGGGAGGTACTACCGTCCTGCCAAGTGAGTGTAAAACGAAAGCCTGTAATTGTTTTACATGATGGTAGGATTGCTGGTGTCCTTTTTTCTGTCTCATGAACATGCAAGATTTCAGGTACGTCTTGCTACTTCTACTTACACTTAGGTCACACTACACATACATGTACAAGCGTATATATACATACCCCTCTGGGTTTTCTTCTATTTTCTTTCTAGTTCTTGTTCTTGTTTATTTCCTCTTATCTCCATGGGGAAGTGGAACAGAATTCTTCCTCTGTAAGCCATGCGTGTTGTAGGAGGCAACTAAAATGCCAGGAGCACGGGGCTATTAACCCCTTCTCCTGTATATATTACTAAATTTGAAGGGAGAAACTTTCGTTTTTCCTTTTGGGCCACCCCACCTCGGTGGGATACGGCCGGTGTGTTGAAAGTAAAGAAGTTTTTATTCTAATATTTTTAAAAATATCTTAGAATGCAGTGCAATAACTTACAAGTGGCGATTTTTTTTTACCCCAAATGAATACATAAGCTATAGGTAGTAGGCTGGTAGACAGCAACCACCCAGGGAGGTACTACCATCCTGCCAAGTGAGTGTAAAACGAAAGCCTGTAATTGTTTTACATGATGGTAGGATTGCTGGTGTCTTTTGTCTGTCTCATAAACATGCAAGATTTCAGGTATGTCTTGCTGCTTCTACTTACACTTAGGTCACACTACACATACATGTACAAGCATATATATACACACCCCTCTGGGTCTTCTTCTATTTTCTTTGTAGTTCTTGTTCTTGTTTATTTCCTCTTATCTCCATGGGGAAGTGGAATAGAATTCTTCTCCATAAGCCATGTGTGTTGTAAGAGGCAACTAAAATGCTGGGAGCAAGGAGCTAGTAACCCCTTCTCCTGTATATATTACTAAATGTAAAAGGAGAAACTTTCGTTTTTCCTTTTGGGCCACCCCGCCTCGGTGGGATATGGCCAGTGTGTTTTATTTATTTATTTATTTAATGTCTTTGCAAACAGTACATTGAGATTGTGTATATACAATAGTGGGTTGCAATGTAAAGAGAGCCTCTATTATGCCTTGGCATTATGGGCCAACTTAACATTATTGGTTTACATTCTACTTAATACTAAGGAGTAGTATAACATAGTTGTACAGTAGGAAAGTAATTATTTCATAGTTGTACAGTAGAATATTAATTATAAATGAATCAAAATTTGTATAATACAAAGATATACGTATTTATATTCTAAAATGTTTTTGTAAAAAAAAAAAAATGATTCAATTATATTCCTGTCAACAATGGATAAAAGGTTCAATGTTATTGTTTCAGTTATGAGGTGGGAGTACATAGGTGAGTAAATGTATACTGAGTATTTAGCATTTAGTCTAGGGTGATTAAGTGGCTTTTGAGTAGAGTCTTAAATTGATTTTCAGACTGGGTTACTTTAATATCTTCTGGTAATGAATTCCATATTTTGGGGCCCTTTATGTGCATAGAGTTTTTACACAGTGTGATATGGACACGAAGTATATCAAAAAGAAATCTGTGTCTTGTGTTGTGGTCATGTGTCCTGTTTAGGTTGGTGAGGAGAAGTTTGAATGGAGGGTTTATATTTGCATGTATTGTTCTGTGTATGTAGTAGGCACATAAATAAGTATGGATGTTCTTAATGGTAAGCAGATTCAGACTTTTGAAAATTGGTGGAGTATGCTGGCAGGAGTGGGAATTTGTTATCATTCTTATTGCTGAAAGAAGAAGAATACACAAGCCATTTCAAAAGCCACTGATTACACAAAGCATTTCAGGCATTCTAAAACTGACTTCTCCTACCTTTTTGTGTTTTGCTCCTTCTTTTTTCACTTCCACTTTCTTATTTTGACGAGCAAACATAGAAGCGATTTGGTTGCTTTTTCCATTAGTCTGTTTGTCATCATTTTCACTGCCTGGTTCCTTCTTTATGTCATTCTTTATTTGTGATGGTTTGTATTTGCTCTAAAATGAAGAAATAGTTGAAAATATTTAAGTTCAAATTAAAATACTAATAAACATAAGTAATCATAACAAAAATTATACAATGTATGAAAATAATATAAAACACCAGTCAGAAATATACATAGTACAGTTGTTAATTCATGGAAAAGGGGCTTGGATAACCATATTAATTTTTTATGAAGACCATAATATGCATATTTTGAAAGAATTATATTTTAACACACTGGCTGTCTCCCACCAAGGCATGGTGATGCAAAAAGATACGCTTTCACCATCATTCACATTATCACTCTTTGCAGACGTGAAAATATGACAGTTTAGATGTCACTCCAAACAGCAAATATCCCAAACCCCTCCTTTAAAGTGCATGCACTGTGTACTTCCCACCTCCAGGACTCAAGTCCTGCTAACCAATTTCCCTGAATCCTTTAACAAAATATTACCCTGTTCACACTCCAACAACTCATCAAGTCTCAAAAAACTATTCATTTCCATTAGCTCCTATCTAACACGCTCACACATGCCTGCTGTATGTCCAAGCCCCTTACACACAAAACCTCTTTTACCCCCTCCCTCCATCCTTTCCTAGAATGACCCCTACCCCTCCTTCCCTCCACTACAGATTTATACACCCTCCAAGTTATCCTATTTTGCTCCATCCTCTCTAAATGACCAAACCAAACTAGACCATTATCGTCTAAGTTCAAGCAAAAATTTTGTTACAGTACTTCGTTATACTATACAATACCTCTATCTTACCTCTTTCTTAACAGGCTCAGGTGGAGCCTGGTATGCATTCTCCTGACGTATTTTTGCCAAGGCGGCAGTTGAGCGAACTTTAGCATCTGGGCATTCAATGCCACTGTATCTGTAAGTGAAAAGAGTTAGTTAAAATATCCACCCTTACATATGGCATGTATATTTGGCTAAAATATGTACACATGCCTTGTATATATATTATCAATGATTAGAAACAATGAAAAGCCATAAATATATTTGTTATTTGTGTAACATTTTTGGCTAAAATTAAGCTAAAAGAATTAATGTCTCACATGAGTGTGACCTCATTACAAGCAACACTAAAATAAACAAATTTATTTATAATTCAGAGTTAAGAATACTAGGTTATAAATTATAATTCTAAAAAACTAGAAAACAGCATTACTTGAGCATTCAGCAGGCATATGCAATATGTTAGATCAAAGCAAGTGAATTTTGAGGATTTCCCATGTTGAAGGAGAGTGAGCCATTAATGGAGCATTTATCATGAGATTCAGGGAAACAAGTTTGCTGAACTAAGATTATAGAGGCAGGAAGTACAGTGCCTGCACAGTGAAAGATGGGTGGGCATATTCAAGTACTTCTGGTAAGACATTTATTGAATGAATGGTGGTGAACGAGGTTCTTTGCTTGAATCATCCTACCTTGGCATGAAATGACCAATGCGGTAAAAAAAAAAATTAAGACACTCAACCCAAAATGCTGCAGGATAAGTTTGAATGGTTGATGTGGTCAGCAATAAAGTAAGCTTTAACCTATAATTATTAATGCTAGAATAATCTGCATAGTTTTTCAATTAATCTTCTTTCTTTCAACACACCGGCCGTATCCCACTGAGAAGGGGTGGCCCAAAAAGAAAAACGAAAGTTTCTCCTTTTACATTTAGTAATATATACAGAAGAGGTTACTAACCCCTTGCTCCCAGCATTTTAGTCGCCTCTTACAACACGCTTGGCTTATGGAGGAAGAATTCTGCTCCACTTCCCCATGGAGGTAAGAGGAAATAAACAAGAACAATAACTAGAAAGAAAATAGAAGAAAACCCAGAGGGGTGTGTATATATATGTTTGTACATGTATGTGTAGTGTGACCTAAGTGTAAGTAGCAAGACGTACCTGAAATCTTGCATGTGTATGAGACAGAATAAAAAGACACCAGCAATCCTACCATCATGTAAAACAATTAATATTATCATAATTCAATTAATATTATCATAATTTTCACTGACTTGATTACTACAATTTAGTGAAGAGGCTTGTGATTAATGTGAAAGATATCTGGAGAGAGAAAACATCAAAGAGTAGTGTTGAAGCAAGTAAGACGAGTGTTAGTATTTCTCATTCAGTGGTACAAGAACAAAAATGGCTGGAGGAGACTACATTGCCTACCTAGCTGAGTAGCTGGAAATGCATGTACTGTACATGAACAAGTTTCTAAATAACTGCTCCACACATAGTACTTACATGTTTTATACATACATGTACTTTACTTATAAAAAAGTATATATACAACAATTCTTGTGTGTGTATTTCATGATTTTTCTTACATTGTCTTATGATACATACTGGAAGGTCTTACTTGTTTATGCTCATGATGTTTTCCTTAACCTTGTCATAATTGGCACTGTAGAGAACATTCATATCCTGAAGTTTGGTCTTCTGGACACTGTATATGTGTACTGATATAACATCCTTCATTTTAGTCTTGGCTGCTGCAAGGCTGTCTTCTTTAACCAACCAAATCTAAAATGTAAAGTAAAACAGAACACGAATGGAAAACAGCACTCTTCAACCCTTCCAATGTCATAAATCATAGCTATCGTAATGTCATCTGTGTTCACCAAACGGCATGCATATTTGGAGGCTTTGATAAGGAAAGGAAACTTGTAGGTTTTAACTCTCCTCATTTCATCTAATGAATTTTTTTATTAACCTGTCATTAGGTGATAAAAGCTTTATTTCTCACTTTAATTAATGACATTGTCACTTACCTTGTGTACACCTGGATGGTCTCCTTCCCTGGCCACCACTCCAGACACAATATACGTAACATTGAGGTTGTCACCTTTGTCTGAATCATGCTGACTGCTGACGAAGTGATACAGCATCCTATGCACACAAAAACAATCAAAATTTTTTACAATACACATTATTATTATATTTATAAGAAAGCCCTAAACCCACTGGGTCATTCAATGCTTGGAGAACAGGAGGTAATCAGCTTGATCAAAAGAAGAGTAACTCCAATTCCTTATGTTTTATGTATTAGTTGGGTGATGCAGAAATAAGAACATCTGTGGAAGACAGCATCTGTCTTCCTGTTAAACAATGAAAAAAAAAAAAATTACTTTATACCTATAGTATAATTAACAAGTAGTGTATCACTTACTGCTTAGCCACATTAGTGTGGACTCCCAAAGTAAGGCTGAGCCATTTGTATGTCACCTGCAAAAAAAAAAAAAAATAGAAAAGTAAGAAAAATCAGAATTTTTTATTAATGCACTGTATCCAATGGTCTAAGACATACTTAATTCTGTATCAGATTTGCATTTATTCGAACATGAAAATCTCAAATGTCCAGACAATATTTCTTTTGAAATATTGACTGTAAGCTACTAAAGCATTAGCCATTAACAATAACAAACCAAGGTAAAGAAAGTGTATCACAACTAGAAAAAACAGCTTCAGTATATTGTGTCAGGTACTGAATTCATTTCTAATCTCTTTATTACAAGTTGGACATAAATACAATGAGAAACATACAGAAAAGGAGATGACAAAGTTAATTCCCTATCTAAAAAATCTTTCCTCTAAAGACAGGCTAAGATCAATGAGCACACTCATTCCAATACTATGTAACACTGGATTCAAGTGGGATAGATTTAAATTTCCAATTTGATGAACATGGGTTATCATTACATTACTGTTTTAGTTATTACAAACATGGAGAAATGCTCGTTATTCTTATATATTATCCATACAGTCAGTGTATAGTTCATTCAAAGCATATTGATACTCAGATAACAATATTGCCTTCAGAACTGTGAATTAAAGGAAAATAATCACTTGGTTGGTGGGATTCTTATAGGTCAATTCCTTGCACAAGCATGTGTCCTTACACCTGCTGCCTCTGTTCAAACAGGATTAAGTAGATACCTGGGTGTTTGTCAACTGTTGTGGTTTGAATCCTGGGGGAGATTAACCTATGTTGCCCAAAATTATCTGCATAATCAGGAGCTTTCTATACAGTAAACCAATGATGAATTGGATGTATCATCTACTTGATTATTATTATCAAAAAGTGTTAAACCCACTAGGATCATACAGCATCATCTACATACTTGAAGAAATAAAGATCATTATTTTTATCCCAAGGATTAGTAATTACGATAAACCAGGAAAGCCAATCAGTGTGATTTATTTCCATTAGGATCCTTGGGTCCTATTCCACAGGATACAACCCACACCTATAATAATAATAATATCATTATTTACTACATGTTACATGGTAGATAGGCTTAGCTGACATCAGTGACATACTACTATATAGAAAGCCCCTTGTTATGCAGAATATTTTGGGTATATTAGGTCATTGTCCCAGGATGCGACCCACACCAGTCGATTAACTCCCAGGTACCCATTTTACTGGTGGGTGAACATAGACAACCGGTGAAAAGAAACAAGCCCAATGTTTCTACCCTCGCCGTGTGAAGCGAGAGCTTTAGCCACCAGGCCACGGGGCACCGTGAACAAGGATAACAGGTGCAAGGAAACAAGCCCAACATCTCCATTCACCCCAGGTCCTTCAGTTGTTAGCCACTATTACCAGAGCCATGAGATACTACAACAATGTTTAACATTTTTCTCTTTATGGAGACAATCAGAAATTGATATACCTTACCCAATGTAAGGTCATGATTGTAGCCATAAGAGGCCATCGCCATTGATGGTCTTAAATAGCCTTTTCAAATAAATCACCTGCAACTTAAAATAATTAAGCATCTTGAAAAAACGCCAACTTACAATTCTCCCTTCGTCATTGATAAATTCATCTAAATTTTCTAAATACATTGAATCTATGGATGTATCAGAAACCATTGTAGCAGGTTGGTCCTTATGAAACCTAGAGGGTGCTACTCTTGCTTGAACAAGCTATAATGTGGTGTTAGGGATATATCATCAACTTCGGCCTGATGCGTGACTTGCTCAGAGTCTTCTGCAAGCTGGCCGCTGGTCTTAGTGTTTTTCAGTATTCCTTCCAGGCAACCCATGTAGGTTTCGCGGGAAATGTTGTTTATGTTGTTGGAGTTGGGGTTGTTAAGAGTTACTAAAGTTTACGTTTTATCGAACCCTGATTCCGGGTTAAATAGTTTAATATCCTTATTATGTACGCAATACCCATCCTGTGGGCGGTAGTCGAAATATTACAGAGACACATAATGGGTCCAGGGACTGGGCCGCAAAGTTCTGATAGCTAAGCAAGTTACAGTGGTAATGGACTATTTATATGTTTATATCTGATTACAATCATAATGAGCTATTCTGCTTCCCGGGAAACCGGGGAAAATATGTTGCCCAAATTTGGGTGAGATTTATAAAAGCAAAGTTTTCTGGGAAAGAGAAATTGAAATGTCAAGTTTCCAGTTAAGTCCACAATAACAGGATTTCCTAAGCCCTCGTAAGAAAACGAAGAATTCATCAGTGTGCTCATAGCAGGGAGCAAAGTGAGATATCTACATTTTACCAATGACATCGAAGAAGTCTTTGGCAGTAATTATTATGCTGATATGGTTGTAACGTCACAGGTTGTGGCGCAATATTATTAGACTACCGTACATGTCTACAAAGTTGTAAAGTAATTTTAAAATCAACGTACTTAAATTGCTTAAATTCACCATAAGTATATTAAAATATATGTAAGGTTAAGTTAACAGCAAGTCCTCTGTTAAATAATAGATATATATATTAATGGATAAAGTGCTTCTGAAAGCTGTAAGTTCAATATCTTTATTATGCACACATTACTCAATCCTATGGGCTGTAGTAAAAAGATTGCAGAAGCACAAAATGGGTACAGGTTAAGTAAGTTCATTTAAGTATAGGTACACATCAGTACAATTATCATACATAGTCTAAATTACCTAGAATAACCCAAAAAAAGTTAGACAAAATGACTTATTTCCATTGGGGTTTATGGGCTGTCCATTGCTATCTCGACCTTTCTATCTTGCTGGAAGTCTTAACCTGTGTAAAATATGTAATAAGATAAGCCACTGTGAGGTAGAAAGTCTACTGATCATTCTTAACGTAGTAGAACATGGTCATTCATCACACAGGACACCAAAATGGGTTTGGCACCGACAAAACTACTTGTTCTGGTTCGTTTTATAGATAGGATGTAGATGGAAATTTGCCATTATCTTAACATAATTATCTTATCTTAACTTAAAATCGTTATATACCGAGCAATGACTGTTAAAGACTTCACCTTATTGACTTTAAACTTTTTCAGTGAATTAGGAGAATGCTTCTAGTCAACTTTAAACCCTAAGTGTTGTTGTACCTTATATGTTGTTTTTGGATTGATATAGGACTATGTAGGTGCGAGTTTGCTAATTTTTGGGATGATATTATTAAAGCCGATATACTGATTTTCTTGTAATGATACGTTAATGTCTCATCTGAACAGGCATTTATATATTATCAGGCAAATGAGTCTTACTTAGAGGAAGCTTTGGACTGACTAGGTTGGGAAAAGAAAACCAAGAACTATCGACAACTCCCTTCTCAAGGGAGGTTTCTTGACACCAGTTAGGGGCTCTTGATCTAAAAAAATTAAAATGATCTCCCTTCCTTGAATCAAAATTTAATGCCTCCCATTACCCCCCAGGTGCTATATGATCCTTACGTGTTTAACGCTGGCCACCATGAACTGATACTGATTTTGCCACCGAAGTGGTTAGTTTATTGTGCACCCCATGTCCATCTTGTGGACGGTGGCGCAAGAACATATGGATACACAAAAGACCTAGGAACTAGGCCCCGAAAGGGTTAAAAGGGGTACATCTGGAGTTATATCTACAGTTCACTTATCTGTTACAAGCAAATTTGTGGAATTTGCTTAATATATCTGAAATCTTATTTTTATTAATAAGATATCTTGATATGTCGCATAGGTTATTATACTGTTTATCTCTATATTCTTCAATAAGTGGACAATTAAGCACATAGTGTTCAAGATTATGACCACGGGGCTGGCCACATACTTTACATTTGGTTTGATCATCATCTGTGTGTCTCCCAAGCTGCCAGAAGTACTTGTAGCCAAGCCTAAGACTGGCCACTACAACATCAGTCAGTCTGTTCACATTGCAAGTTGCTCCATTGTCCTCATGAATGCAATAACAAAAATGAAAAAAACGTGTTTTTTGGGCCTTTAATTACCTGAGTTTTGCAAGCCTTTAATATTATGTTTCACTGTGGCTTTAGTGTCGAGCCGGTCATAATCTCAGATACAGTATTCCTTTTCTCCGCCAAGGTTTTGTTAATAACTTGAAATCTTCTCTTTTCATATGCTTCAAATTTTCTAAGCTAGTAAACTATCATTAGGGAAATGTTCATGAAACTATTATAATGGGTAGACGCTCTCCTGCCAATTTTATAAAACCATTATTAATTTTTATGTATGTACTATCTGATCGGCTTCACACTCTCAACATTGATGTATCCTTCAAAACTTTATTGCTGATATTTCCCTGCATTGGAAACTAATGCCGCACTCTGAACTATTTCTTTTCCACAAACCACCCCTGGTAAGTATACCCGCACATGCAAGACTGAAACTTATGACACGTTTCGGTCCGGCTTAATGATAATGAAGCTTAATTTCTCTGAGCATACAGATAATGTAGATACATAGGTAGATATATGAGTAAAAAAGTAGCCACAGATTAATTATGCAATGCATCTAGTTAATAGTTCAAGTCAGACCGAAAGGTCGTCATCAGTTTCAGTCTTCCATGTGCGGGTTATTTTTGTTGTTTCAATCAGGGTATTGTCTTTTTTATTATTATATTTTGTTTGTGTGCGTTGAAGGCTGGGTTTTTTTCAGCCGGGTTTCTCGGTTTACGCATTGCCCGAAAGTACACATCTAGCTTCTGAAATGTCCAGTTAGTAAGTAAGTAAGTAAGTAAGTAAGTTCTGCCACGATTTTCTCTATTTTCTTTTTTTTGTTATTTCAATCTTTTTTTTTTTAATTCTGTGTAGCTAACCTTTTTTCTTGGCACATCTGGTACTATTTCAAGTTCTTCTCTGGCAAAAAGTTCTATTTTTATTTATTTTCACACATATTTTCGTATGTGATTACCTTGTCCGTGACCAGGCCGCGTGGTGGATCAGGGCCTGATCAAGCAGGCTGTTACTGCTGACCGCACGTAAACCGACGTACGAGCCACAGCCCGGCTGGTCAAGTACAGAAGACTTTAGGTCCCTGTCCAACGCCTTCGTGAAGACAGTCAGGGGTCTATTGATAATCCCCCTTAAGTATGCTGGGAGGAAGTTGAACAGTCTTGGGCCCTTGACACTTACTGTGTTGTCTCTTAGCGTGCTCGCGGCATTCCTGCTTTTCATTGGGAGGATGTTGCATCCCTTGCCAAGTCTTTCGTTTTCGCTAGGAGTGAATTTCGTGTGCAGATTTCAGACTAGTCCCTCTAGGATTTTCCAAGTGTATATTATCATGTGTCTTTCTCGCCTGCATTCCAGGGAGTACAAATCAAGGGACTTCAACCGTTCCAAATAATTTAGGTGCTTTATCGTACTTATACGTACCGTTAGTGTACAGGAATATTCCAGGCTAGAGAGAACAAGCGATTTAAAGAGAATCATCGTTGGCTTGGCATCCTTAGTTTTGAGGGTTCTCATTTACCATCTTATCATTTTTTCCTACCAGATGTAGTACATACATTATTGTGATCTTTGAGAATGAGATCCTCTGACATTATCACTCCCAGGTCCTTCACATTAGTCTTTCCCTCTATTATGTAAATTGTGAGTTCATTACCTTTGTAAATTGTGAGTTCATTACCTCTGTAACTTGCTCAGCTATCAAAACTTTGGAGTCCAGTCCCTGGACCAATTATGTACCTCTGTAATCTTTTGACTACCGCCCACAGGATGGGTATGGGGTGCATAATAAACATATTAAACTAAAAAAAACTCTATTATGTGGTGGGAATTTGTTTTATACTCCTGAGTATATAGGAAGATTATTATTATTATAATCAGAAAAGAAGCGCTAAGCCATTATATAGGAAGAGAGAGGTAGGTTTTGTTTTATAAAGGTAGGTTTTCTTTTAAAGGTGTAAGGAAGTGCATTTTATCATGGGTTTTTTCTCTTTCTACTAAGTCTGTTTCTAAGTTCACATCCAACAGATGGCCAAAACTGAGGAGTGTGATGACTGGCTCTCAGTGTTGGGTAAGCAGTAACGGTATGAGCATGACACACTGCTCGCACCACTGCCTGCAACACTGTTGAAACCTTTATCGCTTCCCATGTTGCATCCTTGCATAATATATTCTCAATTTTGATCATGTTTACACATCCCAGAATAGAAACCTTTCATTCAGCTAAATCACCTTATTACCATGAAATTTTAGAAAAAAAAAATTCAAGCAACACAATCCGAGTCAGAATTTAGCAGAAATATCCTAATATAAAAATTAGAAAGCATGACAAAACTTTCAAGTAAATATTGTTTTCGGAGAGGGCATGACCTCCGTTAGTCTTCCTAAACAACAAATGAACCTATTTTCATCTATAACATGGCTGGGATGGTGTCAACAATATTCATAGCTCATAGCTAATCATTTTTTGTAGAAAATATGTAATAGGCTTACATATAAATGAATATTTGCAATATTTAACTACAACATATGGATATGATTTTTGAAACAACAAGGATTAACGAAAGCAAAAGACTCGGCAGATGATGCAACATCCCCCCCCCCCAATGAAAAGCAGGGGTGTCACTAGCACGTTAAGAGACCATACAATAAGTGTCAGGGGCCCGAGACTGTTCAATTGCCTCCCAACATACATAAGAGGGATTACCAATAGACCCCTGGCAGTCTTCAAGCAGGCACTGGACATGCACCTAAAGTCGGTACCTGACCAGCCGGGCTGTGGCTCGTACGTTGGCTTGCGTGCAGCCAGCAGTAACAACCTGGTTGATCAGGCCCTGATCCACCATGAGGCCTGGTCACAGACCGGGCCGCGGGGGCGTTGATCCCCAGAACTCTCTCCAGGTAAACTCCAGGTAATGATATACATTTTGAAAGACCCGTAGATGATTATCGTTCTAAATCTCCCATAATGTATATTGCAAGCATGAAGTTTACTAAACTACAGTAAATATAAGATAAGATAAGATAAGATTTCGTTCGGATTTTTAACCCCGGAGGGTTAGCCACCCAGGATAACCCAAGAAAGTCAGTGCGTCATCGAGGACTGTCAAACTTATTTCCATTGGGGTCCTTAATCTTGTCCCCCAGGATGCGACCCACACCAGTCGACTAACACCCAGGTACCTATTTGCTGCTAGGTGAACAGGACAACAGGTGTAAGGAAACGTGTCGAAATGTTTCCACCCGCCGGGAATCGAACCCGGGCCCTCCGTGTGTGAAGCGGGAGCTTTAGCCACCAGGCCACCGGGTCACCTATATTTAGGATACTTTCTTTTGAGATGGTAAGAACGTTACTTACAAAGGGGATCTTGGCATGTACACCCAACTATTATATTCCTCTGTACAACCATGTATCATGTCAAAATAAACTTATTATTCTTATTCTTAGTAGGTTTGCCGGAAGTGTTCCGGCCGGGTGTTGTCCAGATGGGACAGCAGGTGTCTTAATAATAATACCAATAATAATATCTTTATTTCTACAAGTGCATATACAAGGTATATAGACCTAGCTGACATCAGTGACATACTACTGTATAGAAAGCCGCTTGTTATGCAGAGCATTTCGGGCAAATTAGGTAATTTTTTCCCCAGGATGCGACCCACACCAGTCGACTAACACCCAGGTACCCACCGGTGTAAAGAAACACTCCCAGTGTTTCCAACCTTTGCCGGGAATCGAACCCGGACCCTCAGCTTTTGCCACCAGGCCAGGCTTAAAGTAATGCACAGATTTACAACAGTCGTCTGTAAAAAGACGGGTTTAGTGCTCTGTCATTACTAGAATTATATATAACCTAAATAAAACTTGTTATTACAAGAACTTCATTGGAATTAAGTCACTAGTCTTGTTTTGGGTCATCCTAAGTAATTTGCAGTCACCTAAATTTGTGTAACTGTACTTATGTGTACCTATACGTAAATAAACTTATTTACTGTCTATCTCCCTAAAATGTGTATTAGAGTGGATGTGTGTTCAGGTGTAGACGTCACAACTTTCATCAGTATGGTCAGTGTACTGTGAGGCGTCGAGGGGGAAGTGTTGATGCTCTACACTCCACCCAATGGCTCCCAACACTTCTAAAAGTGGGAAATCTACCCCTAAGGTTTCCCAGAAACTCAACTCTGTGGAGAAAATATTCATTAAGTACAGGTAATGTTTAAACCAGGAGGTGAAATACGGCTTATTATTGTATTCATATGTTAACTTTTGTTGCCATTAATGCTGGAGAAATCAGACTCGACCTAAAAAAACATGGATTTTCTATTCGTTGTTCCCAAAACTGATTGGAAAGTTCTAGCTTCTTGTATTGAGAGCTGTAAAATGCAGTTTTTTTTCATGTCACTTATGATGGTATCTCTGTCTGGTTTGACAGGTGAAAGTTACCATTTTATCCTTTTTGGTGGGCCATAAACGGGACGGCAAGAATGAAAACTAGAATAAGATAGAACGGTGAAAAAGATTGTGGAAGGAGAGGGTAAGAAAGGTTAAATGGCCAAATTACGCTGTATTTGTTTTAAGGGAATGTTTTATTACTAAAGTTTTTGAGGTCTATATTTATTCATGTATGCCCAATATGTTCATTTGGGTATATTTATGTTAAAATCTATTCATGAAAGATGCAATTTATTTAGATACAGGTACACATACATTTACAAGAATTATCATACATAGTAATAGCATAAATGTAAATTACATAGGATAACCCCCCAAAAAGTGATGTGTCCATTCTGGTTGAAATAAATCGTCCTGTTTGTGCTGTGCAATGCTTGATTCTTGGTGTGTCTTGTGATATTTCTACTATTCCTCCAAGAGGGACACCACCACCAAGGCTGGGATAGACATCCCCCATTTGTGTTCCACAAACTTTTTAGAAAGCAGCTGTTTTAAAAATCTCAAACTGTAAGGTTCCCATCAAAATTTAAAATATAAAAATGACCAGATTAAAATGTATACAGCACATTATTTTAGCTTCTCAGGTGTATAAAAACTTGCTGTAGGAAAACTTTGCAGCCTTTGCTTAGGAAATTTGTTTTGCTTGTGTGGGGTTTGAAAAGCCTTACTTAAATTTCATTAGGTAAATATAATTTTTTTTTCTAGATTTTTCTATTTTTAACCTAACACCCATCTTGAAAATATGAAATCTGGTAACTAGTCCTTAATCATGTTGGAAGGTTTCCTTCCCAACTGACATAGGAAGAATTGCATAGTTTGCACTTAATTAACAGAATCTTTATCTCCCTAGGCCAATGAAAGATGAAAATACCATTCTTGTGTGGTGGTGCAGAAATATCATTGCTCAGCAAAACTGTGAAAGTTCAGCAATGAAAATGTTTAAATCTGGTGAAGCTTTGTTAATTTGCTAATTTATTCTAACTAAGCAGTTAAGCATGAGCTTGGTGGGCTTCATTTTATAATTATGGTAAATGTTCCATATACAGTCATTAAAGCATCACTGAGGGTTATGTGCATCTGTCAGATTTTAGGTTTGGGCAGGAACTGGATAGGCAATGATGTGGGCACCTCACACCTAAGGTTAGAGATATTCCTCTAAGCCACCGGTTTCCCTTCCTAACAGGGTTAGTGTCATTTAGTTTGAAAAGTTTTTGTACATGCAGTAAATACTGGTATGAAATTACATTAATCAGTGTACGGTGGCTTTAAAGTATACACACTCCCCCCAACTTACAAAAAAGTAACATTCCAGAAGGATGTTCATATCTTGAATTGTTCATAAGTTATTTTTGCCATTTTTCTAGTGTTACAATTATTATTATTGTTTTTAATATTATCAATATTGTTAGTGTTCTGTCTCTGTGCTGTTATTCATTGAAAACTTAGACAATACTGTGCAGTATCAGTAATGTACTGATACTGTACAGTCTGTTCATATGTCCGAATGTTCGTAACTCGAATGTTCGTAAGTAGGGTTGCGTCTGTAGTGTAACATTTAATAATGCCATGTTCAGTGTGTTTATTCTGTACCATACTGTTTTATTGGGAAGGATGGGAAAGTGGTAATGAGTGTATGCAGTATGTGGACTTTAGTAAGATTAACCTGTCATCTTTTCTATATTTATTATATTTAATTTAATAGCACATTTTTTTTTACTATATTTCTTGTAGACGGTGTGACTCGCCACAAACTTGGTGGATTGTGTTTGGTGTGGTGTGTTTGCTGACTGCTGCCACAAGATTCTACAAAGTTGGAGAGCCAGAACATGTTGTGTAAGTACACTATATACTGAACATTAAAATGGTATAAAATACCGACAGGTTGTTAGGTAAGACACATATGCAACAGTTAGGTATCTTTATTTCGAAACGTTTCGCCTACACAGTAGGCTTCTTCAGTCGAGTACAGAAAAGTTGATAGAAGCAGAAGAGGCTTGAAGACGATGTAATCAGTCCATCACCCTTAAAGTTTTGAGGTGGTCAGTCCCTCAGTCTGGAGAAGAGCATTGTTCCATTTTAATGTTCAATCTGTCGGACATTGCAACACAAGGGTATCTTGGTACAGACCTGCAATCAACTTCGACAACCTCTACTAGTGAGAACGGCTGGATTTGAGAGGGACCTGATCTCCCAACATCTGCATTCTTACTTCTACTAGTGACCTACATCTCACCTCCTGGCGCTATATAAGGCTCCATCCTGTAACTTCAACTCCATATTGTTTCAGACTATGGAACAATGCTCTTCTCCAGACTGAGGGACTGACCACCTCAAAACTTTAAGGGTGATGGACTGATTACATCGTCTTCAAGCCTCTTCTGCTTCTATCAACTTTTCTGTACTCGACTGAAGAAGCCTACTGTGTAGGCGAAACGTTTTGAAATAAAGATACCTAACTGTTGCATATGTGTCTTACCTAACACTATATACTACTCTCATCTCATGACCAAACACTGTCAAGATTGCCTCTTGTTTTGTTTTGATTTTAAATTGAAGGTATACATACATATGAATATAGATTGAGCAGAATTTTTTGTGGGCTATTCAACAAATGATACTTGTATTTTCCTGTCTGTCACAATTTTCCTAAAGGTAATGACACCAAAAGACAAAATTTGATGCAAAACTTATGGAATTACTCAAGCATGAAATTGGAGGTCAGGGAGCACTTTACAGTATGAGGCTATTTCACTAGTATGCATCCAGTACTATTGATCGAGTCTTGTAGTGCCCAGAAGTTTGTAACTTGGTAAATTTTTTAAAAATTTCAATAAATTCCAGTTTAAAAACAGTAAAAAACGAATACTGTAGGCATTCTAAACCACTAGAGTAACCTATCTGCTGATCGTTACTCTCATCCCCAGGCCTTTCCTATACTGTGTAACACTTCCATTTTGAATCCATCATTTCACAAAAAAATTGAAGCATTCCCATTTCTTGGCTAACAAAATACAGTATAACAAAGAGTTCTTGGGTTGTGGTTTAGACTCTCCCAATAATTGAAACAGACTGTAAAAACCCATAAAACAGACTTGGTGGGGAAAGATATGGGGCCTCCTCCCTTAACCTTTAAACTGTCCAAACGTAGATCTACATCCACGTGCAGGGGGCTCCGAACGTAGATCTACGTTTTTTTTTTCTTTTTTTTTTTTTTTACATGCTTTCAAATTGGGAAAATCAAGGTTGGAGCGCTACGCACGTGAATGTAGATCTACATTTGGACAGTTTAAGGGTTCAAGAAAATCTCAAAAATTTAATATTTGTCACTTCCAGTCTGAAACCAACCAGTCATCTCCATTTTACTAGTATGCCTTCTGGTCTATCAATTGGCACCAAGAAAAAGCTGTGAAAACCACCTTAGAAAATGACTCGGTTGCTATTTTAACCCATTTTTTAATGTCTAGGCCAAAATTTACCACTTGCAGCATATATAAGAGCACTGTGATTAAGACTGATCTATGTGGTAGTCACTGATCCCATTGATGTAGAGCAACATGACCAACAGTGAAAGGGAGTAACATGTTAGGAATTTTCCATAAAGGAAGTATCCTAAAGAAGGAAAACTATTATGTACTAACATTGATTTCCTAGCTAACTTTTCAAAAGTGCATGGATACTATATCAAAGCTCAAATAAGATACTATTGATATATCACAATCTTTTCATACTCTGAATATACAGATAATGGGAATTTAGAAAAGTGCTATATATGCTGGTACAGTATATAGTACCCTTTTTTTTAGAAATGAAATTTGTTTTAGGTTATTTCCATAAGGCAAATTTTGAAGCAGGAAAATGCTGCTCTTGTGTAGCTGGCAGGGCTGTGGAGTTGCAAGCAATTCTTTTGCTACTGGAGTTGGAGTTGTTAAAAATGTAATGAGTCCTAATAAATTTAAATTATAGAATATAAATTGAACAATACTTTAATCTGGAAAAGGGTAATGTATGCAATTGAGTTCATTTCTTTTAAAATGGTCCCTTATTAAGTTGTTTTAGGTGTTCAGTTGCTCATTACTTTTTTGTAGTTTTAACTTTTTTTTATTAATATCAAAGGATATGCTTCAGATTTTTGAACTAGTAGAGAAAGATGTTTCCGATTCAGATTATCTTTTATAGTTTTTTCTTTTACATCCTGTTACTTTATACATACTTGATAGACTTTTTATAAAAACATAACCTCATTGTTTCCATTTTTCAAGTTTTGTTCTTTGTTTAGCTATAAGGTTACTTACTGAATGTTTGTAATTTCTTTAATAAATAAAATATTAATGCCAGAATTGCATAGCTATAACCTTTATACCCAAGCTTTAACAGGTTACTGGACTTGTATGCTGCATGCTTGCAGTTGATATAGGAATGAGGATACAGCATTGATTTTGTTAAGAGGGTTGACCCCTTCCACTCTTTTACAGTTGTTTGTGTGATTTACAGGTGGGATGAGACTCACTTTGGCAAATTTGGAAGCTGGTACATAAATCGAACCTTCTTTTTTGATGTCCATCCTCCTCTAGGAAAGGTAAGACAAAAACAGAGCATTCTTAATTATGTAGAGTGCTTAATATTTTATGCTTCTGTACTTCGTTTCTAGATTAACTCTGGCTCTGCTTTATATTTTTTGTAGTAGAAAGCTTCCTATTGAAGAATGAATGTAGAAGGTTTCCTATTGAAGAAAGAGTGTAGCACCCTGGTGGTTTTATTTCTATGGGTCTTCTTTGTGTACTGAAGCAACAAAGAATTAATGGGATTACACTAAATTGTCTATCCCCTTCTGCCACCCATCACAGATGCTGGGTAAAGTTAAGTGTCAGGGTTTGAATAGCTTGTTCATAAGGGTATAGGGCTGCTTCCCTTGAGAGGGAATGATAAGTCTCCTCACACGATGCTTACCTGACAATGAATTCAGCACATCTTTTGGTATAAATGGTGGGGATATTTCACCACCTGAATTTGCTGACACATAAGACCAATAACATTTAAGGAATTCTGCTAATGCTGACACTTTTGGTGCTACTACTATGGCCTCTTGCTCTTTCCTCTGCCACTGTCACTGACAGCTTCTGGTATATTGTTTGTAACTCTTTGAGCTGCAGTCGATTTGTGATTAAAAATGTGTACTTTTCATAAAAGTAGGGCAATTAATTGTCACTTAGTTTTCCTAGATTGGCTCATATTTACTTCTCATTGCCAAGGATTCAGTAAACTTCTAGGTAATAGTGGTCTTCAATCTTTCACCTTCCTTGTTATATTCCTCAAAGTTTCTGTTTGACAACTTAGAATGAAATGCTAAATAGTATAAATCACTGCAGTCCAGTTTCTCATTAATGTGGTGGCAAAAATTAAGTTGAAGAGAAATACCATATAGTATTTCTAAATAAATGGTAGGCCGACATTAAAAAAAATGCATTGTAATTCTGTTAAAGATTATTTTTAGTGAATGTGCTATAGATATGCGTATGATTTTTAAGGCGTTTTGTTGGTATTCGAGTTTTTTTTGGCATTTCTTGTCCTCAAAGAAAATTCCTTGATGTTGGTGAAGGGCTCTTGATCAAAGGAATTTAACATTACCTTTCCCCCTTTTAGATTGAAAATGATTGCCTCCCATTTCCCCAGTCTCTGTATGACCCCTACAGGTTTACCACTTCTTTCTTGGATGTAATAATTTGTGGTTCTTTTCTCTACAGATGCTGATAGGAGCATTTGGTTATTTAACTGGATATGATGGCATGTTCCCATTTGTTAAGCCTGGAGACTCTTATGAGGGTGTCAGTTATCTGGGCATGAGAGTGGTAAGTAACAATTTTCCTATTTACATATATCGATGGTAGAAAATACTAACATTAATGACACACTATGCAGTTTGTGGCATTTTGTTAAGATACTTGGTATCAGCTAGTACAGCATTTTAGCAGCAACTCGTCACCGGTGGAGGAGGACAGCAGGTAGTGGGTGATAAGCCTGGCCCAGGACCAGGCTGCAGAAGTAGACACTTATCCTGTCAGAGATATATCAAAGGTAAGTCCCTGATGGATGTAATGTCTTTTCAGTAAAATGCCATAAACTGCAAATTCCTATTTGTATACTTCATTAAATTTTAAGGGCCATCTTAGATATGATAGTGAATGCAGTCGCATATAGAGGCACACACTATGGCCATGTATGTACAGCATATGCTGTATTTTTTTTGTGATCTATATTAATATCACTTAGCCTTATACAATTAGTGATTATTCCTTGTAACGAAATATGTATGCCAATTAAAATTTGTTGGCAACCACCATTGCCAAAATAGTGAAATTCAAAGTGCTTTTGTGATTTCTCGCGTTATCAAGGAACTGTAAAAGATAGTGGAATATAATGATCATAGTGGAAATCTCTAAATTAAGAATCGTCTATTTAAAAAGTAATATGTACTACATGTATATTGTACTGTTATTTCTTTTGCTGTACTGTTTGCATGGATTTTATTTTATCATTGTATATCTCGTGTTTAATTTATAATTCTTTAATCCTATTGTAAACTAAAGCTTTATAATTAAAAAGCATTGCAATGTTAACTAGGAAGTCTTTTAGTACAGCATTGTGGAAAGTATACATTACAATAACTTTCACTCCTTTATATTTCTTCTGGTATCCACAGTCCGAGCCATACCAGGTATCAGTATAATCATTGTTATAAATTTCTTCAGAAAGTATATTAGTATTTTGTCATGCCATGTTCAGAATGCAGTTCTTATCACAGCAGTTATTGTTGATTTTTACTTTTTTTTTTTAGATTACCTGTATTCTGTATCCATTAAGTGTTGAGCATTTTCCTGGTAGGCCTACTGTACTATACTGTATTCGAGAGGTGTGGAGATTCTTGACATAAATAATAATTTGGCCAAATTATTATTTATTATTGGCATGTACTGAATTTTCTTGCAGTGTTGTACAGCAATGGGGGCCTGCTTGGTGCCTTTTGCCTTCATAATCGTGTGGGAGATGACCTTCTCGTTGCCTGCTGCAACATTGGCAGCTTCATTAATTCTGTTTGGTGAGTATATATTTAAAAGCAGTGTATAGAAGTACATAAATGTGACATGCATATACATTAATTTGAGATTTTTGGGTGCTTTATTTAATTTGATGCTGTATTTGAAGAATTTTGTTGTAAAAAACAGTGTAATTCTCTTGTACTTACCATCCTGAGTTTGATATTTAATTTTTTTTTACTCTTGGCAGATGTGGGTTTATTGACATTGACACAATATATCCTGCTAGATCCCATTCTCCTCTTCTTTATCATGGGATCTGTTGTGGGCATAGTTAAATTCCATGCCCAGCGAGAAAAGTAAGTGTATGGTCTATTGTGTCGACTTGTTTCATTTTCTAAATGCTTAGTTAAATATGTTTTGCACAAGTGTTAAGAGAGTGAATAGAGATGAATGGTTTTTGTGACTTGATGAGCTGTTGGAGTGTGAACAAGGTAATATTTTGCAAAGGTATTCTGGAAAGCCGGTTAGCTAGACTTGAGTCCTGAAGGTGGGAAGTACAGTGCCTGCACTTTAAAGGAGGGGTTTGGGATATTAGCTGTTTGGAGTGACATCTGAGCCATCATATCTGCATGCAAAGACAGTGATTGTGTGAATGATGGTGGGAGATGGCCGGTATGTTGGAAAAAAAAATTAAAATGTATATATTTACTTTTGCATCCAAGTAAACTGTATTAGCTAACAGATGTCACAAAATTGAGATTAAAGACACACTTTCCTTTTTTTTTTTTTTTTTTTTAAGTGGAATTATAGCAGTGTATCATTGAAGGGATGTACATGTAAAAATTGCTTAGTCAGGGTAATTCTCATTGGTTTTGGCAGAACTTTGAACAGATGTCTGCCTGGACAAAATCTTGACCTTGGCTAGAAAACTGAATTCCAAAACAGTGTTGTCACTACATATCTTCAGTGTGCTCCTCTGTTTTTTAATATATTGGGTTTTAATTAAATATTTTATTCTGCAGGCCATTCAGCATCTCTTGGTGGGCATGGTTGTGCTTCACAGGAAGCATGTTATCAGGATCAGTGTCAACAAAGTTTGTTGGCCTTTTCGTTGTAATCTATGTAGGTCTGCACACAATCAAAAGTCTTTGGGATCTCTATGGTGATCTTAATAATTCTTTGGTAAGTTTAAAAAGTTACTATAGTGATGTATGTTACCTCAAGCTGTGTATAATTGGCATATAGTGTTATAGACATGGATGGAAGATTGCAGAGGCATGTTTGTTAGTCGGATGCTTTTCTCCACATTGTAATGTATCAAAAAAGGTTCTAATTTTTTAGAGGCAGATGCAATGACTGTAACAAGAAACATGCTAATTCTGAGGCTAGGAGATACCATTGTTCTGCCTTTTATAGTGTATTGTATTTAAGTGTTTTGTTGCAGACCTATGTGGCAAAACACTTCTTGGCTCGTGCATTGGGTCTCATTGTCCTACCAGTTGTTCTTTATTTTGTCTACTTCTACATTCACCTGACTGTATTATGCAAAAGGTATATTAGTTTATTGTATCTTGAAAAAGTAATTTTCTTTTTACCTAATTGAAGTCTACATAAATATAAAATTGTGTAAGCCATGTGGAGAATATTGTGTATATTTGTTTGCTTTATCTAAAAGACTATTTTATATACCTGTACATTGGTTACTATTAATTCTTGCAATATCTTTTGCTTGCATTGTCTAGTGGGAATGGTGATGGTTTCTACAGTTCTGCATTCCAGTCACAGCTGGAGGGAAACTCTCTGTATAATGCCAGCATGCCTCTAGGTGAGTTATATGTAACGAACTTGGTAACATGAACACCTATCTCACTAAGGTAGGTTGGTAGGCTACTGTTCCTGTGGGGTAGTTATGCCACATGTAGATCCTAAACAAGACCAGTAGTTTTATTTATAAAAGATTTTTTTACATAAGCGGCACGTACGTAGTGCTCTGAACATAGATCTACGTTTTTTTACATGCTTTCAAATGGAGAAAAAAGGTTGGAGCGCTACGCATGTGAACATAGATCTACATTTGGACAGTTTAAGGGTTAATTGAAGCTCTTCTGCTTGGTTTTGAATCTTTCGCATTTGACCATTAATTGATCTTTTTATTTACTGATCTGCCCATTATTTTACTTGAACTTTCCTTAGTTTCGTTTTAATGTCATGGACAGAAACCCAGTTGGCTACTTAGCTGTACTGTAGTAACATCAAATATTTTCCTTACTATACTCAAGCAGTAACAGGGCTAATGTAATGAATGTTAATACAGTAATGGATGTTAATACAAATGTCCAACTGTACTTTCCTTAAAAAAAAATCCTTCATCATAATATTCATCCAGGGAATTGCAAACAAATGAGGATGTTATGGCTTAAAATTAGAAATTTATTAAAATATTTTTTTTTTTGCCTGTTGGATGATCATCGCAGCTTTCCATTAATATTAATAATGCATTATAGCTCCGAAGGTCATTTTCTTTTTCTTTTTCACACAGAACTTGCATATGGAGCAGAGATATCCCTGAAGAATGCCAGAACAGGTGGTGGATATTTGCATTCTCACATACATCTGTATCCTGAAGGTTCAGGGGCTCGGCAGCAACAAATAACAACGTATTCACATAAAGATTTCAACAATAAGTGGTAAATGACGATTTGGGATGCTATACTGTAGACTTCAAATTAATCTTTCGATGCCTTGGACACATTGGGAAAGGACTGACTTTGTACATCTTTTTCAGATATTGTACTTAAGTGTTGAGTGTATTAACCTTTTCAGTGTTGTGACCCCTGCTCACAAGCTTGCTCTCATGGTCAAAGAATTTAAAAAAATTCTTATGAAATCATAGAGAATCTTTTTCCAAAGGTAATGAAACCAAAAAAATTAAATTTGATGGGAAACTTATGGAATCACGCTCTCACAAAGTTAGTGGTCTCGGCGATATTTACGCATTGGCTATTTAGCACCTTTTGGGCCAATTCCATTGTTCCAGTCAACCAATCTTGTAGCTATTTCATTAGTACTCCTTTTATTCTATCACTTGAGTACAAGAAACTGCCCATTTACCTATTTCAGCTACCTAATAAAGTGATCAGAAATTGGTAATTTGGCCACTTTCACACAAAATTCAAGAAAGGCCAGTTTCAAAATAGGGTCCAGCATAAATAATGCAGACATTCCTGGCACCAAAAAATTTCTCTGGTCATTAGTCACGTCTCCAGGCCCCTCTTATATTACACTTGCTTTACATTTTGAATTTTTATTCACATAAAAAAATAGAAGATTTACGGTTATGCAGACTACTGCATTATTGTAGTAATTGTATAAATAATATAAAAGCATTCATGAACGCATATTAGACTCGCCAGTTGACATGTATTGGATGCTTGACTTGATTTCTTTACTCTCGAACATCAGCAGAAATTGAACATTTCCCCAAGTTTGAGCTCAGTTTTAAGCTACTTTCAGTTCTTCAACAAATTAGAATCATATCTATTTCTGTAATATCTCTCTCATTCTATCAAATGAAACCAAGACAGCAAGAATACAACCATAAGTACCACATGAAAATACATCGCAAATTCAGTCTTTTTCCTCATGCACTGCATTATGAAGTGCATAAGATAAAAAGATCCATTCTCTCGTATCTAGGCCCAGATTTATCGCTCACAGCTTGTCTGATTGAGCTGAGCTTGTGGCATCATATTATGGGGCCGACACTGGTTTTGAAGTCGTGATATAACTGGAACAACACCAAAAGGGTTAAGAATTACTTTAAAAACATTTTACACCTTGGTTTGGTTTTTATCTGATGAATAGTCAAAAAGGTGTTTACTACTTAGTTCTCCAAAATGTGAGCGAGATTGTTATTTTGGTTTTCAATCGTTGCTCAACGCACAACAAAAGTTACCGTATTTTCCAGCATATAAGGCACGCTTTGTTTCCCACAAAAAGTCCTGGAAAATCAGCCTGCGCCTTGTATGCTCAAGGTCAGGGTCGAGGGTATGCCTTGGGCTACATTTTAGCAATTGTTTTTTAACATTATATAACTGCTTGGAAACATCGTCTTACATGTCTTATATACTCATGTGTCCTATACTGTATGCTGGAAAATACAGTACATATGAATGACAAAATGGAATGCATTTTTCCTACTTTACGACTCGCAAAATCGTAATGACACGATTGCAAATAAACCATACCACGGACAGGGATAGAACCCGCCATCAGAGTCTCAAAACTCCAGACTGTCGCGTTAGCCACTGGGCCAGCTAGCCACAGTAAGATTTGTCCAGCTAGGTATATTTCTTGAAATATGCCTAGTTAGGATGAATCTTATTGAAGAAATATACCTAGTTTGATGAATCTTATTGTGGCTAGCTGGCCCAGTGGCTAACGCGACAGTCTGGAGTTTTGAGACTGATCGTGGGTTCTATCCCCATCCGTGGTATGGTTTGCATTTTTCCCTTGAAGCAAGTGGAGCAGTGCCTTTTTTTTTTTTTTTTTTTTTTTTTTTTTTTCTGGCAATTTTGACATGTAAATGATGACCACAAATATTGATATTATTTTTTTTTTTTTTATCACACTGGCCGATTCCCACCAAGGCAGGGTGGCCCGAAAAAGAAAAACTTTCACCGTCATTCACTCCATCACTGTCTTGCCAGAAGGGTGCTTTACACTACAGTTTTTAAACTGCAACATTTACACCCCTCCTTCAGAGTGCAGACACTGTACTTCCCATCTCCAGGACTCAAGTCTGGCCTGCCAGTTTCCCTGAACCCCTTCATAAATGTTACTTTGCTCACACTCCAACAGCACGTCAAGTATTAAAACCATATGTCTCCATTCACTCCTATCAAACACGCTCACGCATGCCTGCTGGAAGTCCAAGCCCCTCGCACACAAAACCTCCTTTACCCCCTCCCTCCAACCTTTCCTAGGCCGACCCCTACCCCGCCTTCCTTCCACTACAGACTGATACACTCTTGAAGTCACTCTGTTTCGCTCCATTCTCTCTACATGTCCGAACCACCTCAACAACCCTTCCTCAGCCCTCTGGACAACAGTTTTGGCAATCCCGCACCTCCTCTTAACTTCCAAACTACAAATTCTCTGCATTATATTCACACCACACATTGCCCTCAGACATGACATCTCCACTGCCTCCAGCCTTCTCCTCGCTGCAACATTCATCACCCATGCTTCACACCCATATAAGAGCATTGGTAAAACTATACTCTCATACATTCCCCTCTTTGCCTCCAAGGACAAAGTTCTTTGTCTCCACAGACTCCTAAGTGCACCACTCACCCTTTTCCCCTCGTCAATTCTATGATTCACCTCATCTTTCGCAGACCCATCCGCTGACACGTCCACTCCCAAATATCTGAATACATTCACCTCCTCCATACTCTCTCCCTCCAATCTGATATCCAATCTTTCATCACCTAATCTTTTTGTTATCCTCATAACCTTACTCTTTCCTGTATTCACCTTTAATTTTCTTCTTTTGCACACCCTACCAAATTCATCCACCAATCTCTGCAACTTCTCTTCAGAATCTCCCAAGAGCACAGTGTCATCAGCAAAGAGCAACTGTGACAACTCCCACTTTATGTGTGATTCTTTATCTTTTAACTCCACGCCTCTTGCTAAGACCCTCGCATTTACTTCTCTTACAACCCCATCTTTAAATATATTAAACAACCACGGTGACATCACACATCCTTGTCTAAGGCCTACTTTTACTGGGAAATAATTTCCCTCTTTCCTACATACTCTAACTTGAGCCTCACTATCCTCGTAAAAACTCTTCACTGCTTTCAGTAACCTACCTCCTTCACCATACACCTGCAACATCTGCCACATTGCCCCCCTATCCACCCTGTCATATGCCTTTTCCAAATCCATAAATGCCACAAAGACCTCTTTAGCCTTATCTAAATACTGTTCACTTATATGTTTCACTGTAAACACCTGGTCCACACACCCCCTACCTTTCCTAAAGCCTACTTGTTCATCTGCTATCCTATTCTCCGTCTTACTCTTAATTCTTTCAATAATAACTCTACCATACACTTTACCAGGTATACTCAACAGACCTATCCCCCTATAATTTTTGCACTGATATATATACAGTATATATCAATATGAGTATATATATATATATATATATATATATACATATACAGCAAGAGGCAGAACTGAAAAATATAATAAATTAACATGTGCCATTACATAGTTGATAGTAAGTAGTTGTGTACTATTTGTATAGTGATATTATAGTTACATTAGAGTATTTTATATCTGAATTATTTTTGAACAATAAAAGATATTTATGCTAAAATTAAAATAATAATTTTGAAGGTATGGTTATCAATAATTCATGAAAGTTCCAATGTACTATGATATGCTTGAAAAATTAAATAGCCATGTGATAAATGTTTTACCCTAAGTATATATGAGAAAAGAGCTGTAAGAGTTTTTTTTAACATTGGCAATCTCCCACTGAGGTGGGATGATCTGAAAAAGAAAAGCTTTAACTATCATTCTCACTATCACTGTCTTGCCAGAGGCATGTAGATATGACAATTCAGATTTCCTTCCAGACAAATATCTCTACCCTTCCTTTGGAGTGCAGGCACTGTACTTCCCACTTCCAGCACTCTAGTTGGACTAACCAGTTTCTCTGAATCCCTTCACAGAATATTACCATGCTCACACTTCAACAGCTCATCAGGTCCCAAAAACCATTTGTGTCCTCACCTATCTAACTTGCACATGCCTGCTATTTTAAAAAACTATTACAATGATGAGGCTTGAATTGTATCTTTAAATAAGTATTATTGAAGCTGAAAACTTTCAGCAATAAGTCCACTACTTCATGGTAAACATAGCAGTAAATGATTCCCTAAAGTAGTATAATACTACAGCATCAGCTTAACAAGTTTGACTTTTTTGCAAATTAATTACATTGTTGAGATTTTTTGACATAAGAATTATTTGGTTGCAGGCTTGTGAAGAAATGGAATGAAGAGCCTGGTGACTGGGAAGATGATGACCCTGTTGAATTGGTTAAGAATGGAGACCTTATTCGTCTTGAGCATGTGCCCACTGGTCGAAACCTTCACTCTCATCGTGAGCCATCACCTGTTACAAAACGTCACCATCAGGTTACTGGATATGGTGAAGTGAGTAAAGCATTATTCATAAACTTTTTGCCAAGAGGACTTTAATATTGAGAGATGTTACAAAAGATTCTCCATTTTAGAAAATTTTATTTAAAACAAAAAAATGGGAACAGAAGTGGCTTTCAATTTGGGGGGTGTCACCAGGAACCATGAACGTACTCTTTCAGACTTCCTCTTGTTTTCGTTTGTGCATTACTAGGGAAAGGGTTCCAAACAAGTGCTGCATACTCAATTCAGGAATGGTTGGTTTTTGACAATTCTGAATGAAAGGATGGAGAATTTTGCTGGGGGCTCTGGGCATATTGGGATTCAGCGCTATGACTTTTTCAAGTTTCATTACTTTTATAAACTCGGTTTTGTAATGTCGGCTTGTCTTTTGCTGCTCATTAAACAGTAAAATTAGCTTCCACTTCCACTTTTCAACCAAATTTGTGTAGTTTCTTAAATTCTCCTGTGAATCTTTGGTAACTCCTTAACTATATTTTTTTGAGTTATCACAAAGTTTATTTACAATTACTGACAAATACTGTACTGCTTTGTCATTTGATTTGGGTCTCTGCTACATCAGTAGTCGCTAGTGTCTTAAAAGTTCTGCTTTTATTTTATGTAGATTACCATCAATATCGTATTTTCAGAATGGTATGGGGGATGTGAACGATGTATGGCGTGTGGAAGTGGTAAATGGTGAAGAAGAAGAAGTTGTGAAGACTGTAGTTCACAAGCTCCGATTTGTTCACTACTTGGTTGGCTGTGCTTTGATGTCACATAATAAACAATTACCAAAATGGTAAAGCATGTTCTTCAGTTATTATGGACTAGTTAGAATATAAAGAAATGTCACTACAGGCTATATTGCTTTATGATTAATATATTACCTTTTATTTTTTATGGAAATTACATAGTATCTCCTTTTATGTATTTTAATTAATGGAATTTATCTACAGGGGCTTTGAACAAATGGAAGTCACTTGTAACCCAAATGTGCATGACCTTAACAACTTGTGGAATATAGAAGAAAATGTGTTCCCAAAACGTAAGTGCGCAATGATTGTCTAAATTGGGGGCAGCTTAATGTAAGAGATAGCCTGACCAAAAAGTAATCCTTATATTTTTAAGCTTTGACATTACTGAGAAAGTGTAAAGGTACACATCTAATTTGGTTATAGAAGATAGTGATTATGCTTTCAGTTACTGAAAGAAAGCATTTCATAGATGAAATAAGTATGTAAATACTGAAGATGTAGGTAAACATTAATGAAGAACAGGTATTTAGATATGTAACCCTTTAGATGATATTGATAATAAACAACTTCGTTTTTTAATAGCTTTTCAATATAATGGTGCTGACAGCTTTTTTTTTTTTCTTTTATGGCAGTCATCTTCTAGCTAATGGTTTCCCTACTATCCATCAGGAATAAATGTGATATTTCTCTAAGTATTTATTCTAGTTTAACTACACTTATTTCTTGCGGATACTTAACCTCGTATCTTCCTCATTCACATGCACATCATTTCTTAACCCATTTTTATTTTTGCAGTACCAAACTCCAGTTTTGAGATCTATGGTCCAAACTTCGTAGAGAAGTTCCTAGAGTCTCACACTGTTATGTTCCAAGGTAACTCTGGCCTCAAGCCCAAAGAAGGAGAAATAACTTCCCAACCTTGGCAGTGGCCAATTAACTTCAAGGTGTGTATTTTTTTTCTTTTTGTATAACTCAAATATCAGTTTTTTTCTTGAATTGGCTTTGCAGTATAGTTGAATTGTTGATATTAATTGAAGTGTTTAATTATCATTCTGGGCTACAAATTGAGCACCTCGTTAGAACAATTGCCATTGTACTCAGACTGATATGCTTGAGGAGCTTATTACTTTAATGCTTCATTCTTTGATCTTGCATCAACTTTATTTTAAGAAGAAGAAGACTTGATTCTGTATAAAGAATGGATTTTATTCTAGCTACACGTCTTGTTGAAATGAAATACGGTATACAAAATTTAACATTCACAACTTTCAAATAATTTGCACACACTGCACACCAGTACAGTGCTTACACGCTGAAGGTTGGGTGAGGGTATTAGTTTGATAGGTCTCTTGAATTGTAATACATCTACATATGGAAACTCAACTAGAGAATGAGTGATGGTAAATGTATTTCCATTTTTGGGTCATTCTTTGTGAGAAATGGTTTGTCTTAAAATACAAATTACTGCTGCTAGAGAATTCAGCACAGTTGTAAAGTTATATTTTCAGGCATGGCAAGTTGTATAGCAAGTCTCTGCACCTGCAGTGGAAATAAAAGTACAGTAGAACCCCCCTATTCACAGATTGTTTTCATGGTTTGTTATCCACTGTTTACTGCAGCCTGAAAATAAGCCTTAATTTTGCTTAATGGTGACACCAAAGCACAGAATTAAGTGGTGATGGCAGTTCTTCTAAGCCTAAGAGAAGCTGTTAAGTGCTTGCCATCACTGAAAAAGTGCTAATTCTCCACTTAGTGTGCATAATTTATCGCTTAAACTCTTGTAGGTATGTCTGTAAACAAAGAATGATTTTTATACATAGGGTGCGCCACTATCCATGGTTTCTGGTATTCACGGTAGGTCTTGGAATGTATCCGCCACAGATATGAGGGGACTACTGTAATTATAAAGACTGAGCTCTAGTGTTGCTCTTCTCATGTAACTACAAATAGCTCATTACAAATGGTAATCACACACAAACATGCTGCGTAGTGTTTATAAATACACTGTACTACTGGTATTTAGTAGTTTGTAATATTTTAACCTTTTTAAACACACATTTTTTCTTGAATAAGTGCCACCTCAATGTGTAGATGGTAGGTAGGAGAAAGTGTAGTTATTACTGTGATTGTATATGGTAACATGACCTTTACTTGCATTTTAGGGACAGCATTTCTCAGGTGGCAAGCCTCGTATTTACCTTCTAGGAAATCCAGTAGTATTCTGGGGCAACCTTGTGGCTTTAGTATGTTACTTCACTCTCTGCACCTGGAATTCATTTCAAATTAAAAGGGGCTATAGCATCTCTCCAAATGTTAGAGGTAATTAATGTCTACATAGAGAAATCTTATGCTTTATAAATGCTAAGTGATGTCAAGCCCTTGTGCTTTGTTTTTATTTAGCAAGCAGAATTGAGCATTTAATGTGTGCATCCTGGCATCTTGTATGTTACATTTTCTAAGTAGACATAGTGTGATAAATTAGACACATGTGCAACTCCTGGGTATCTTTATTGAGGAAACGTTTCACCACACAGTGGCTTCATCAGTCCATACGAAGGATAAACTTTAAGAACAGGAGGAGAATGAGGTAATCAGTCCCTCAACCTTGAGTCGATGTGGTCAGTCCATCAATCTTGAATAGAATACGGCATATGAGCGGAGAAGCAGCTTATAAACTGTATGGCAGGAGAGGTGCAGCAGTCGTAGGTGGTGTCACATTTGTCCAGTGTGGAAGTAGGTCGTGCCCAAGGGTTAGGCAAGCGAAGGATTCCCAAGTATTAAGATCCCAAGAAATTGCAGTGTCTGACAGGATTGTAGATGAATGGTTCAAAGAACCGACACGTTGTTAAATTAGACACATGTGCAACTCCTGGGTATCTTTATTGAGGAAACGTTTCACCACACAGTGGCTTCATCAGTCCATACGAAGGATAAACTTTAAGAACAGGAGGAGTTGCACATGTGTCGAATTTAACAATGTGTCGGTTCTTTGAGCCATTCATCTACAATCCTGTCAGACACTGCAATTTCTTGGGATCTTAATACTTGGGAATCCTTCGCTTGCCTAACCCTTGGGCACGACCTACTTCCACACTGGACAAATGTGACACCACCTACGACTGCTGCACCTCTCCTGCCATACAGTTTATAAGCTGCTTCTCCGCTCATATGCCGTATTCTATTCAAGATTGATGGACTGACCACATCGACTGATTACCTCATTCTCCTCCTGTTCTTAAAGTTTATCCTTCGTATGGACTGATGAAGCCACTGTGTGGCGAAACGTTTCCTCAATAAAGATACCCAGGAGTTGCACATGTCTAATTTAACGTGTCGGTTCTTTGAATCATTCATCTACAAGTAGACATAGTATATTTGCCATTAGTATACATGTATAGGCTTATTGAACAGCGTCATTTTAGATTCGGGAATCGGCAATTCTGCTGTTGTAAACCTGTCCCAGACTACATGTCACTTGTCCTTGTCTGGCTTGGCTTACCTGAATCTTTTTTTCCCAAAGTTTGGCTTCAGTATTTTTTAGCTAAGTTGCATGCATTTCTCATTTTATACAACAGATCACCTGTGTATGCAGCATTTAAGTCTTGCCATTTTTGTGTGCGCTTGTAAATTTACTTTTTTACTTTTTTTGTGTGCGTGTGATTGTGTAATGTTACTTTGTTTAGGGACAATGGTTTTCAGCCATTGATGGCTTCAAGGTGTACCTGCTTGGTAACCCCATCATTTGGTGGGGCAACTTGTTTGTGTTGGCTGCTTTCGTGCTCGTCTATTTCTACCATGCTTACAGGACACAAAGAGGAAAAGTGGATGATACAGAAACTAAAGGTATGTTGCAATGCTTGAATACAAAATTGCAAGTCCAATAATTATAATTTTAACTTTAAGGTGCAAATATTGGGCTTAGTAAATTTTTTTTTTTCCTTATCGACAAAGTGGTTTCATTGCCAAGTCCACTTAGTAAACTATAACATAACATGCTAAATGAAAAATTATACTGTATGCACTTTTTTCTGTCAAACAGCATGCCTTGCTTTAATGTGATCTGGAAGCCTATTATTCAGAATGAGAGATTTTGAATGCTAAATTTTATTTACCTGATGGATAAAAACTTATGAGGGATTAGAAAATACAGTACAGCATTTGAAATTTACCATAATAAGCACTGATAAAATATTTTACTTAGTTTTAGTTGCAGATTTTGACCAATTGCTTGATTATGCAGGTATTTTTATATTTAAATATCTATAATATAAAATCTGAATTGATATACAGTCCTCTCAAGAAAGGTGCCTTAGTACTGGTGAGTGACTCTTGATTCTAGTGTATTTGCACTTATTCTCCCTTTTCTTGAATCAAACCTTATTTCCTCCTAGTACCCCAAGTGTTGTATGGTTACTATGGGTTTAGTACTCCCTATACGTATATGTAATATTAAAAATTAGAATAAAATTACACCTCGGCAGACCCCTGTTTAACATACTTAGATTTAATGAACGATATCCAGGAACAACAAGGTAAAGTACTTAAAATCAGAATTCTGTTGTTAAGGCTAATTATGGGTCTGTTAAATTCAGAATTATCCATTTTGGTTGTTTCCTGGGTAAATTGATTTTGGGTTTTAATGGACAAAATCCATTAAATCCAGGATTGTTTAGATAAAATTATTTGGAGTGATTGGACACACCACTCCTTCCCCATTTAAGTCAGTTAAATCAAGCATTCACTATTAAACACTTAGTCAGGAGGAGAGAGAGGCAAAAGTCATGTTACACATGTTGAAGTTGTGCAGTGATCTGGTAGGTTGTAGCAGTTCATTCTTGCCCCATGTAGCAGGACTTTCATCTGTGACAGTACCAAATAGAAAAAAAAAAGCCACTTTTAATGTAATACAAAATGTTAATTTTAAAATGCAGCTCGTCGTGACAAAACCTTGGAAGCCTGTGGATGGCTAGTGTTGGCATGGGGCCTTCATTACCTGCCTTTCTATGCCATGGGTCGTATCCTGTACTTCCATCATTACTTCCCAGCACTCCTGTTCTCCTCAATGCTTACTGGTAAGAGTTGGTGATTTACAGTATTATAGTATATGTAACGCTTCTTTGAATATTAGGACAGTGGTAGTACAGGTCCTCCATCACAAATCTGGCATCATTGGGACCTGTAGTGTGCCGGATTACAGAGTGGTTAGGTTAGAATACGCTTAATAAAATTAACCAACTTGACTTACACAAAGTTCATTGAACATCGGCAAAAGTCGAACATTCCCGCTACTTTGAGCTCGGTTTTAAGGTACTTTTCATCATGAAAGCAATCAAAATCATGTCTATTTCTGTAATATATCTTCCATTCTATCAAATGAGTCCAAAAAATGAGAATACAACCATAAAAAGCATACGAAAATATACCGCAAAGAGGCGGCTAATGGCTGAGAAGTGAACTCCCTTATTTATCGTCCGTCTTTTTTATTTTTGTTGTACGTTAAGAAGCATCTTTCCATTGTACATTGCCCAAGTTTCAATGAGATAGCCCAACAAACAACCAAGAAAAAAAAAAACATTTACCAAAAATCATATATGGCAAGCCCAAGCCAGGTACTGGAAATAAGTCACTTTGTCTGACTTTTTTTGGGTTATCCTAGGTTCTCTATACATATGCTGCTATGTATGATAATCTATGTAACTGCATTTGTGTATACCTGAATAAACTTATTTACTTCTAGTCTGTCAACTGAGTACAAGAAACTGCCCATTCACTCATTTCAACTACCCAATAAAGTGGTCAGAAATTGGCAATTTGGCCGATTTCACACAAATTTCAACAGATGCCAATTTCAAAATAGGGTCCAGAATAAACAGTGCAGACATTCCTGGCACTAAAATAACATTTTCTCTGTTCATTAATCATGGCTTCAGGCCCCTCTTATATTACTCTTGCTTACCATTTGGAATTTTTATTCACAAACAAATAGGAGATTTACTGTTATGCAGACTTATGTATTATTGTAATAATTGTATAAATAATGTCAACCCATTCTTGACCATGTATTGGAATTTGGAGTGGCAGGCGGACAGGTATTGGACGGTGACGTCATTTGTTTACTCTTGAGCTTCGCTAAAGAATAGAACATTTTCGCTACTGTGAGTGCAATTTCAAGGTACTTTTCATCATGAAAGCAATCAAAATCATATCTATTTCTGTAATATATCTTTCATTCTATCAAATGAGACCGAAAAAATGAGAATACAGTATAACCATAAAAAACACAAAAATGTACCGCTAAGCGGCCACTAATGGCTGAGAAGTGAACTCCGCTATTTATGGTCTGATTTCTTTCATTTTTGGTGTACATTAAGAAGTATCTTTCCATCATACATTGCCCAAGTTTGAATAAGATAACCCAACAAACAACTGAGAAAATAATATAATAATATCTTGTAGGTAGTAGGTTGGTAGACAGCAACCACCCAGGGAGGTACTACCATCCTGCCAAGTGAATGTAAAACAACAGCCTGTAATTGTTTTACATGATGGTAGGATTGCTGGTGTCTTTTTTTCTGTCTCATAAACATGCAAGATTTCAGGTACGTCTTGCTACTTCTACTTACACTTAGGTCACACTACACATACATGTACAAGCATACATGTATATATATACACACACCCCTCTGGGTTTTCTGCTATTTTCTTTCTAGTTCTTGTTCTTGTTTATTTCCTCTTATCTCCATGGGGAAGTGGAGCAGAATTCTTCCTCCGTAAGCCATGCGTGTTGTAAGAGGCGACTAAAATGCCGGGAGCAATGGGTTAGTAACCCCTTCTCCTGTATAAATTACTAAATTTAAAAAAAAACTTTTTTTTTTCTTTTTGGGTCACCCTGCCTCGGTGGGATACGACCGGTTTTGTTGAAAGAAGAAGAAAGAAGAATATCTTTATTTACTACATGTACATGTACAAGGTATACAGGCCTAGCTGACATCAGTGACATATTACTATATAGAAAGCCACTTGTTATGCAGAGTATTTCAAGAAAATTAGGTCAGTGTCCCAGGATAACACTCACACTAGTCGGCTAACACCCAGGTACCCATTTACTGATGGGTAAACATAGACAACAGGTGCAAAGAAACACGCCTAATGTTTCTACCCTGGCTGGGAATCGAATATTTACCAAAAATCATATATGGCAAACCCAAGCCAGGTACTAAAAATGAGACACGTTGACTTTTTTGAGTTATCCTAGGTTCTCTACACATGCTGCTATGTGTGATAATATATATAGAGAAAATAGCTTTTTTGTTTCAGGTTTATGGTGCAGTATGAGTGTATATCGCAGTTAGCCCTGTGCTACACTCCGTTTTCTCTAATACGAGCCCCCAAGACAGGGATAGGAGAATGGTATTTGTATACCACTCTCTTCATACCTCCATCGAACTGCTCGGTATTATGTCAAATATTATTCATTCTGGAGTATTTAACATGTTTTATGTTATTTATATTGTTTATTATGTCATATTAGATCAGTTGTGATAGGCAAATAAGCTATAGTGTTGATATTAGCGTAATAAAGCATATTCTCCTGCTTCATGAGATTGAGTTCATGGCAACCGACATTGGCTTCAAAGCCACCTTATCTTTAATGGATAATATACTGTGTAGGTGCTTTACATAATGAGAAGCATTTCTTTTACTCATTGGAACCATGGCTAGGGCTAAAAGTAAGCAGGTTAAAACAATAAATGGAGAAAAAGAAAGTGGAATGACTTGTGCAGCAAGTAGCGCCACCAAACAGTACCAGCAGGTTGGTGTGGTGATCCTGGAAATTTGAAATTATGCTAGCCAAAATTAGTGCCAAATAACTGAAGGAACCGAATAACTGATTGCCGGATTTGTGATGGCGGACCTGTATGAACTTGAAAATTTGTTACTTGAGATGGCAGATCTTGTAAAGAAAAAAGAAAAATTTAATTTGTCATGTTCATCTCACCCAAAGTGGTGCTCTTGATCTAAGAAATGGACGTATCCTCCCTGTCATTGGATCAAACCTGAATTGCTTCTAATTTTCCTGGTGCAGTACAACCCCTGTGGGTTTTGGGCTTCCCAGTGATTAAAACAGTTTTCCTACATGCCTGTGTGTTTAAAATTCAGTTGTGCACTTAAAGCAAAATATATTTTCAAGAAATTTTGAATAAAATAGTGACATAAGTTGAAAGAACTCATTGTATGCACAGCATTTCAGGAAATAAATTGTACAAAAGCTTGTGTGAGGAAAACTACCAGAAAAAAAAAAGTTGTATACCTAACAGGTTTTATAGAAGGAAACTAGTCATTTAAAGGGGGCTTCTGGGACTTGTTATGGTAACCCTACGTAAGTAATTTTTTTAATAAATGTTCAACTTCAGAAGCATCATAGCTGTTACTTCAAAGCAAGAGCCTCATTGGTAACAGTAGTGAGGAAGAAATGGATGTTAATTTTAATGTCTCTAGTTATATTTTAGGTATGATCAGAGTTCAGGGAATGGACTCACGAAATCGTAATGACACATTTGCAAACAAACCATACCATGGGTCAGTCATAACTCCAGACCGACGCGTTAGCCACTGGGCCAGCTGGCTGCAATAAGACATCCAACTAGGTTTTATCCCTGCCCGTTGTATGTTCTTGGGGGGGGGGGGATGGTCTTATAAAAGTAGAGTATTTGTACAAGTACTAGTATTCTTAAATATACCAGTACTTGTGAAATCTTGTGAATGGAGTAGCATCAACTGAGAATCCCTGCATCTGACCCACTTGACATATTAATAGGTGGTTTGGTCATTTAGAGAGAATGGATCAAAGTAGAATGACATGGAAAGCATATAAATCTATAGGGGAAGGAAAGAGGGGTAGGGGTCGTCCTCGAAAGGGTTGGAAAGAGGGGGTAAAGGAGGTTTTGTGGGTGAGGGGCTTGGACTTCCAGCAAGCGTGCATGAGCGTGTTAGATAGGAGTGAATGGAGACGAATGATACTTGGGACCTGACGATCTGTTGGAGTGTGAGCAGGGTAATATTTAGTGAAGGGATTCAGGGAAATCGGTTATTTTCATATAGTCGGACTTGAGTCCTGGAAATGGGAAGTACAATGCCTGCACTTTAAAGGAGGGGTTTGGGATATTGGCAGTTTGGAGGGATATGTTGTGTATCTCTATACGTATATGCTTCTAAACTGTTATATTCTGAGCACCTCTGCAAAAGCAGTGATAATGTGTGAGTGTGGTGAAAGTGTTGAATGATGATGAAAGTATTTTCTTTTTGGGGATTTTCTTTCTTTTTTTTGGGTCACCCTGCCTCGGTGGGAGACGACCGACTTGTTAGAAAAAAAAAAAAAAAAAAATGTTTGCCAAGAGAAATTTTGATATTCCACTTGACATGTTAAAAAAAAAACTAACCTTTTTCTTCAGGTGTTATTCTTGATTATTTGCTTGAGAGTCTGCCTAGCATGGTTCCTCAGTACCTCTCATCATCAGTGTATCCCTGGCTCACTGGATTATTCTATTCTACTTTAATTTATAGGTAGGTAAAAAGTTTTCTTTTAAGAGACAGTTTCACATACTGTAAATGTGCACAAACAACCCACACCTTGGAGAAAGAAGCCTATGATGTTTCAGTCTGTCTTGGACCATTGACTAGTCACACTAGTGACTAGTCAGTAGTCCAAGTTGGACCGAAACATTGTCATAAACATCTTTCTCCTATGTGTGGGTTATTTGTGTATTATTCCAGTCAACAGTATTGTGCCTTTTTGTTCTTTATAATGTCGGTTTTCTAAACCATTTACAAACTGAAGAATGAGAGACTTTTGCAACATTTCACCAGTGGCTTCTCTGTATTGGACTGAAGCCATTGACTGGTGAACTTTTCTGCAATAGAGATTCTCCAATGTTGCAAAAGTTTCATTCTTCACAATTATTCCAAAGTATAATTGGAGTCAGTTTTTGGGTGATGAAATAAAAGTTCCATATATAGTAATACTAAGTGATAAACATTTGATACACATATGTACAAAGACATTTTAATATCCTTATATTTAGATTCACTTTATATTTGACTTTATCCACACTGTTAGTTTTTATATTAAATATGCCTCTTCAAGGGGGGCTCCTTGTTGTGGTGAAGAGGCTCTTGGTCTGAGGAATTAGACCTGTCGGTCTCCTTCCTCAGACCGAACCTAATTACCCCCCAATCCCCCCTTCCCTATCCCATCCTCCCCTTTTTCCTTTCCTCCTCCTCCTAATCCCCACCCCTCCCTTTTGCCCTTCCTCTTTTTGGCCTTTGGAATTTCTCCCACAGGCGCGCTAGTTCCTAGGTAGGGGAAAGGATACCGGGGTCCATCCCATTCCGTTGAGGTTCTTGGCGGTGGCGTAGTTTGCCGTGGAATCTGGATTGCCTGGGGATGTCCCGATCCCTCTCCGGTATCCCGGAGTGTAGCTTTGGGTGTCTTTCGGGCGACGGGTGTATCTCTGGAAGCCACCTTTTCGGATTCCGGGGGTGGTGGCCGAAGGAGGTATGCTTTGTGGCGGATATCCGGCCGCCCTCTCTTTTGTCCACCGAGGTAGCTCGGCAGATGTGAGGTTGCTATCCCGGATTGCTGGTTTACTGGCATGAAGGGTAGGGTATGACATGGGTTCCATGCTGCATCTGCACTACTAGCGGTGCTGAGGTCCTCTTGGGCACGGAGGGAGATTTCCGGCCCTTTCATTCCTCCCCACTTCCCCCTTTTTTTATTCTTTTTTTTTTATTTTTATTTTCTTTTCTTTCTATTTTCTTAAAAACAAAAAGCAGAGGAGTAACCTAACCATGGAGAACCCAATCCATGAACCCACTACCCCTGGGCCCCATTCATGATACCGCACCCCATTCTGACCCTGCCTTGTTTTTAGACCACTCTTCGGACACTCCTGATGCCCCTGTACCTCTTGCTGGTGCTGTTTCCTCACCCGCTTCAGGTACCAGGGCTTCGACTGACTCCTTCAATTTGTCTGGCCTCCGCTCTCCTTTGACTATGCTTCCGGCCTCTCCCTCTACGGTACGGCAATTTTCAAATCGCCAGCCCGTTTCACGACGGACCAACTCCGGTCCTACTCCTAAACGCCAACGTCAATCTCCTGATGATGTTCCTTCGTTACCTTCCCATTCTACTCGGAAAAGACCGACACGTCATGCACTCCCTCTCCACGCTCAGTTTCGGACCACACAATGGACTAAATTCTTTACTTTAAGACCGACTTCTTCTTCTGCCTATCTTTCTGACTATAGTATTGGCAAAGTACTTCTGCGTCATGTTGGTAGAGATATTTTATTTCATGCTCTCAAGAGCGGTACGAGCATCATCACTGTCCAGAATGCTACCCAAGCTCATGATCTTTCTCTCCTTTCGCATATCGATACTACTCCTATCACTATTGAAAAACATCATTCTCTCAATTCTTGTAGTGGTACTGTCATTCTGCCCCATACCATAGTCCAACAGAATTTCCAGTCATGTGGCAATGACATTCTTGAACAGCTGGAACTCCAGGATCTCCCAATCCTCAAAGTCAACACTTATGTCCTTCCTGCCCGTGGGCGGAGACGTTACCCTTGCAATGTGGCTCTATTAACTTTCGACAGCCGAGAACTTCCATCCTCTGTTTATGTCGCGGGACATAGGTTACAAGTTCGAAACGTGATCCCTATACCGCAACAGTGTAGAAATTGCTGGCGTTTTGGTCACCCAGCGAAATATTGCAGATCTATAGCCGAATGCCCAGTCTGTGGTGCCGACGACCATTCTAATACATCTTGCAGTCAACCTCCATCTTGCCTTAATTGTAATGAAGCTCACCCTTCGTACTCCCGCCGTTGCCAGGTCTACTTAAATGAGCGTGAAATCCGTTGCCTCAAAGAGGCAGAAGGTTTCAATTATGCTATGGCAGTTACTCATCTCCGCCTCCAAGGAAGACTACCCGGTGTTTCTTATTCTCATGTTTCAAAACATCCCCCCACTTCTGGGGTCCCATCTTCTGCAGCCTCCTCTGTTGTTAAACCTCCCATAGCCACTCCGGCATCTAATCCTTTTGCTGTCTTTGGCTCTGACGTCCCGACTACAACTCTGTCTGTTCTCACATCTTCGCGTCCTTCCTCACAAGCCCCAGTATCGACAAGACCTCGTACGACACCTTATACCAATCGCCCCTCTACTTCTCAGAAGTCCAAAAAATCTACATTGCTCAAATCTTCTTTGCCCCTTCCTTCCCTTCTTCCACCTCTACACTTTACCTTTCCAGTCTCTGTGCCTAGTTCTTCCCCTCTCTCTGGCTCTATTACAAGTGTGGAGGTTCACCCTCCTCCTCGTACTATGCCTTCCACCCCCGTCCCCTCCCAAGTTTCTCCCTCTTCTGCCACCTCCCAGGTTTCTGCCTCTTCTGCCACCTCCCAGGTTTCTGCCTCTTCTGCCCCCCCGCACTTCATCTCCAGTCCCCTACACTCTTTCGTCCCCCTCTACTTTGGTACAGTCCATTACTGTCCCAATCTTTACTCGCCCTCCTCCTTCTACCTCCAATATGGTCTCCCATACATCTTTGAATTTAGAAACACTTGAAGCCATTTCAGAATATATTGCAGAGACTAAACCTTCAATGGACACTGATTCACCTCCTGTTCCTTCTCTTCCCTCTCCTCCATCTTCACAACGCTCCGTTCCTTCGCTGCTTGAACGTCTTCCAATGCCACCACACGTCGACTTTTCTAACCCCTCTAGTCCGTAGGTGCCCTTCCCTACGGATTCCTGGCATTTTCTTCATTGCCAATCATGGCCTATTTACAGTGGAATATCCGCGGCCTCAGGGGTAATCGGGGTGAGCTTCAGATGTTGCTTTCCAGGTTTTCCCCTGTTGGTGCTTGCTTACAAGAACCAAAATTACACTCAGCTGTTTTCCAACCTATCTCAGGCTATAATTTATTGTATTCTTCGGATCCTTTCTCAGATGGGACCTTTAATGAAAGTGCCCTTCTTCTATGCAATGATATTCCGTACTGTCAACTATTTGTCCACACCTCGCTGCATTACATTGCAGCCCGTATCCACTTGAATAAGTGGTTTACAATATGTTCTTTATATCTCTCTCTCTCCTTCTCGAGCATTTTCTATCCCAGATTTTGCCTTTCTAGTTTCATCCTTACCACCACCCCTTCTGTTACTTGGTGATTTTAATTAAGGCCCACCATTTCCTCTGGGGGGGGTCTCATTGTGACTCACGTGGCATCCAGTTGGAGGCTTGTCTCGCCTCTCACCCCCTCCATGTTTTAAATATGGGTACTCCCACCCATTTTGATCCTCGTCCTCATACTCTATCTTGCATCGGTCTATCAGTCAGCTCTTCCTCCACTGCACTCGACTTCACCTGGTCTGTTCTACCGGACTTGCATGACAGCGATCATTTTCCAATCATTCTTACTTCTCCTTCATATTCACCACCTTTCTGTAGCCCTCGCTGGCAATTTGATCGGGCAAATTGGGACCTTTACTCGCAACTCACTGCTTTTAGTGAGGTTCCTTCTTCATCCTCCATTGGTGAGCTCCTACACCTCTTCTCGACGTCAGTTTATACCGCAGCTTCTCATTCTATACCCCAAACCTCAGGCAGGCATTCTCAGAAGTGCGTGCCTTGGTGGTCTCCTGCTTGTGCTCGTGCAGTACGTTTGAAACGCGCTGCATGGGGCAGGTACTGATACAATAGAACCAATGAGAGACTTCTTGATTTTAAGCAGAGGCGTGCGATCCCTCGCCGTGTCATTCGTGATGCTAAACGCACTTGCTGGCGAGACTGTTTCCACCATCACCTCTGCTTCCTCTATGAGTGCAGTCTGGAAAAAAGTGAGGAAATTGAGTGGTAAATACTCTCCTGACCTGGCTCCTGTTCTACGGGTCGCCGGTATTGATGTAGCAAACCCTCTTGACGTTGCCGTTGAAATTGGCACTCATCTGGTCCGTATTTCCTGGGGGCTCCATCTATGCCCTTCGTTTCTTTCCTCAAAGTCTGCCAGAGAGTTAGTACCCTTGGACTTTTCTTCTCTCAGAGAAGAACAGTATAATGTGCCTTTTACACTTCAGGAACTGGAGGCAACACTCTCAGCTTGCCGATCATCGGCAGCTGGACCTGACGACATTCATATTCGTATGTTACAACATTTACATCAGTCAGCCCTTGTAGTCCTCTTACACCTCTTCAATCTTATTTGGGCACAAGGAGTTCTTCCACAGCTGTGGAAATCTGCCATTGTTCTCCCTTTCCGCAAGCCGGGTACTACAGGACATGATGCCTCCCACTATCGTCCCATCGCTCTTACTAGTGCAGTTTGCAGAGTGATGGAACGTCTGGTAAATCGACGCTTAATGTGGTATTTAGAGACACACGACAGTCTCTCCGCTAGTCAATATGGCTTTCGTAAGGGCCGTTCTACCATAGATCCCCTTACTACGCTTAGATACATATGTTCGCAATGCCTTTGCGAATAATCACTCGGTTATTGCCATATTTTTTGACCTTGAGAAGGCATATGACACAACCTGGAGGTATAATATTTTGGCCCAAGCCCACTCCTTAGGCCTCCGAGGCAATCTACCATCCTTCCTTAAGAACTTTTTAACTGACAGACACTTCCATGTTCGAGTCAATAATGTGCTTTCCCCGGACTTCGTCCAAGCTGAAGGTGTCCCTCAGGGATGTGTTCTGAGCACAAGGCTTTTTCTCCTAGCTATAAATGATTTGGCCTCTGTTCTTCCACCCAATATTTGGTCATCACTCTGTTGATGACTTCGCTATTGCTTGTGCAGGCGCTGACTGTCATCTCATTGCAGTTTCTCTCCAGCATGCGGTCGACCGTGTTTCCACTTGGGCCACCACGCATGGGTTTAAATTTTCCAGTACCAAAACTCACCAAATTACTTTCACTAGACGCTCTGTCATCTCCGATCATCCTCTGTATCTCTGTGGCTCCCGTATCCCCGAACGTGATAGTCAGGTTTCTAGGCCTTCTCTTTGACCGTAGGTTATCCTGGAAACCTCACATTACCTCTCTGAAGGCAACTTGTCACAGCCGGCTAAACCTTCTTAAAACCCTTGCTCATCTTTCCTGGGGAGCTGATCGTCAAACTCTGCTTCGCCTACATTCAGCCCTCGTTTTATCGAAACTGTATTATGGTGACCAGATTTATTCAGCGGCCTCTCCTGCTACTCTCTCTAGCCTTAACCCCATCCATCACCAAGGATTACGTTTATGCCTTGGTGCTTTTCGCTCTTCCCCTGTTGAGAGCCTCTATGCAGAAGCAAATGTTCCATCCTTGTCTGATTGCCGTGATGCCCATTGCCTTCGCTACTATGTACGCTCTCACGATCTCCACAATCCTTCCATTTGTAGAATGGTCACCGATATTAGTAGACATTCTTTATTTGTTCGCCGCCCCTGTTTGCTCCGTCCCTTTTCTCTTCGCTTACATTCGCTCGTCTTCCCTTCAGTTACCACCTTTATATGTTCATGTAGCATCTCACTTTTCCCTACCCCCCTGGGAAGTCCCAGCTGTTTGAGTCTGTTCTTTCCCACTCCCTTGCTTGAAAGCCCAACTGCCTACGGTGGCTTCCCGCTCTTTTTCTTGATCACTTCCACTCTCATTCTCATGCCATCGCTGTGTACACAGATGGCTCTAAGTCTTCAGACGGCGTCGGATTCGCAGCAGTGTTTCCGGACAGCGTTGTGCAGGGGCATTTACTATCTTCGGCTAGCATTTTTACTGCTGAATTGTATGCCATTCTTACAGCACTTATTCGTATCGCATCTATGCCTGTGTCATCATTTGTGGTAGTCTCAGACTCCCTTAGTGCTCTACAGGCTATACGAAAATTTGATAAATCTCACCCCCTAGTTCTCCGTATCGAACTTTGGCTACGCCGTATCTCTACCAAGCATAAAGATATTGTTTTTTGTTGGGTCCCTGGTCATGTCGACGTACAGGGCAATGAACAGGCAGACACTGCTGCGCGGTCAGCAGTACATGACCTACCAATTTCCTATAGAGGTGTTCCATTTCTGGACTATTTTGCTACAATAGCTATCCACCTTCACACCTGTTGGCAACAACGTTGGTCAACTCTGCTTGGTAACAAACTTCATTCTATTAAACCGAGCATAGGTTACTGGCCGTCTTCTTGTCATCAGTGCCGAGGTCGGGAGACCACTCTCTCCCGCTTTCGCATTGGCCACACTCGTCTTACTCATGGGTATCTCATGAAGAGGCACCCTGTTCCTCTCTGTTCACAGTGTCAAGTTCCAGTATCGATTAGCCACATTCTGTTAGACTGCCCCCTCTATCAACGTGCACGCAGAATTTACCTCCAACGTCGTCTTCGTTCTACTACTCTCTCTTTACCTTCCCTTCTTGCTGATGGACCCTCCTTTAATCCTGACTCTCTCATTGACTTCTTGACAATGACTGATTTACTCCACAAACTCTGATGATGATACCTTTCGCACCCCCCTCAGCCCTTTCTAGCTCAGTCTCTTGCTGCCCTTTACCCTTTCACCATCCACTGTCCCGCTGTTATCCATAACCTATTACTCGTCCATCTCCCTTTTGCCACCTGATGCCCTCGCTTCCTTCCTGCCCTGCAGCGCTGTATAGCCCTTGTGGCTTAGCGCTTCTTTTTGATTATAATAATAATAATAATAATAATATATTAAATATGTTTAATTGGTTAGAGCAGTAAGGCATTTTCTTTTGTTGCAGCTTCTACCTATTTGCACCACTTGCATATGGAATGCACAACTTGGACCCGAGCTTTGAGAACAGTACTGTACACCAAATTCGCTGGTTAGATTCTTGGGAATTTTAGGCATTGCATTCATCCTGTACTGATTAGTGAAATATGGCAACAGGAGTGAAAGTTTAAGCAAAACTCTTAAATATGAACATTTGGTATATTCTGTCAGTCCATCCTTTGAGCATATCTGTGCTGTAATTAAAAACTAGTTAAATTAAACAATGATCTTTTAGATTTAGATATTTTTCACTTTAATTGATAAAGCGTATTAGTTATTTTTCCAAAGAATTTAGATCTGTTACAATAATCTGATTTGTTTAAGTTGTTGGTTTTGGTGTAGTCTTTTATAAAAGATGTTTTATTGTAGCTCCACACCTCTTTTTTTTTTTTTTTTTTTTTTTTTTTTTTTTTTTTTTTTTTTTTTTTGGTGGGGGGGGGGGGGGGGGGGGGTTGAAGTAGCTCTTTGACTAAGATTCCCATGATAATCTTGTACTTGTTAATTTAATATTTTATAAAATTTATAATAAAAGTATAACGGGTAATTTGCCTGATTAAGTAGTTTCCTTTTGTATTAGTGGAGTAACAGCATCTTGTCAAATTTCTGTAGTATATATAAAAATTAGGTTAAAATATAAAAAAAAAAAATTGAGGCATATCAGCAGGGTAGTATAATATACCAAGGTTCAAATTTCTAGTTTGAATCATTTTATTATAATACAGAAATTACAAAAGTTTTCTTAGCAATTGAGAGCTTTGGAAATGCTTTACTAATAGATACAAAATAGTTTGATAATGCACCTTCCATCAACATAAAAAAAAAAAAATTGATAATGTTGATACCAGAAGCTTTAAGAGTAGACAGGAATGGAATAATGTAGCCATAGGTAGTTATCCAAAAGTTTTGTAAGAGGGAACCAGCCCAATTTGTGACATAGGTACCATGGAACCAGCCCAAAAAATACTATATCAAGAATGGTCATTTCAGCAGAATTAGCCTGAAGACATTGCAGAAGAAGCATTGATTGGGAAAATGTTTTGCTTTGTGTTTAGATTTATAAAGTCTGTACAACTTGATAAAGCTTTACACAGCAAAGCATTCCAATAAAAGCTTTTCCAAAAATATTGTCAAAATACATTATTTGTATCCAGAGAATGAGCCTCTTGGTGTAAGCCATCTTCAGAGCGTGGATTTACCTTGTAACTGTTTGCGAAGGACAGTGATCTTGTGCACTAGAAAACATGAAAGTGTTGAGAGAGCAAGCACAACACAAAGCAATCCAGTTACTCCCACAAGAATGGTAGAATTTACCCAGCATATCTCGCCACCTGTTGGGAGAAAAAAGTTCGAGATATTTTATTTAAAATACATTAGTGCAATAGTATAACAAACAAAGAAAAGGAATGCTGTTGCTGTTCAACAAAAGTTGTTTAAATTACTTACAGCATAAGAGTATGAACTGTGTTTGGCCTGGGGAGTGAGGGGACCCCAGCTCTTATATGGGTGTGAAGCATGGGTTGTGAATGCTACAAAAAGGAGGATGGAGGCAGTGGAAATGTTGTGTAGAGAATTCATAATGTGGAAATTAGGTGTGGAGTTACTAAAAGTATCATTCAGAGGGCTGAGGAGGGGTTGTTGAGGTGGTTTGGTCATTTAGAGAGGATGGAGCAAAATAGGATGACTTGGAGGGTGTATAAATCTCTAGAGGAGGGGTTAGGGGTTGTCCTTAATAAAGGATGGAGGGAGGGGGTAAAAGAAGTTTTGTGTGCAAGGAGCTTGGACATACAGTAGGCATGTGTGAGCATGTTAGATAAGAGAATGGAGACAAATGGGTTTTAGGACTTGACGAGCTGTTGGAGTGTGGGCAGGGTAATATTTTGTGAAAGGATTCGTGGCAACCGGTTACCAGATTTGAGTACTGGAGATGGGAAATACAATGCTTGCACTTTAAACGAGGGGTTTGGGATACTGACTGTTTGCAGTGACATCTAAATTGTCATACCTGGGTGCCTCTGAAAAGATGGTGAAAGTGGTTTTTCTTTTTTGGGTCACACTGCCTCTGTTGGAGAGGGCTGATGTATTGAGAAAGTATGGCTTAATTTTTTTTAGTCAAACAGGGCATAAAAGATTAAACAGAAATTTATTGTTTACAAACAGAATTTGAAGCAAAAAGGAAAGATTTTTTAATGCCAATGCTAAGGAAATTCATAATGCAGAATCTCTAATAACTGACCAGTGAGTTGTTCTCTAGAGACCACAACCACCCCACGCTGGAGCTCCACGATTGTTGGTGGTGAGGAAGGCTGCTGACGTCTTTTCCTAGAGGGGTAAGGTCCACTACTACAAGGTTTAGAGCATTCTCCTTCACATACTTCAAGATGGCAAGAAATGAGAAACTCTGGGCTCTCTCCAATGCGGAATGCCTGTGGATATTTTAAAGAAAAGTAGTCTCTTAATGACAGGCTATTTCCATTAGCCCACAACATGTATCCAATACATACAGTATTTAGGCATACCTCACTAATACAGCGGGTTAGTTTCCAGACCACCAGCGTAAAGCGAATTACAGCTTTTTTCCTTTTCACTTGCCAATGCATACAGTAAAAGCCTAAAAAACATGGTTTGCATTATCATTATTAAGTGCACAATAGCATTAGACAAAAAATTAAATTTGAAAATTGCTGAAAACTATCCTAAAGAGGAAAAGCACCGAAAATAATGAATATTATTGAAAAGCACTGTATTAGTGAAGTGCTCAGAACTAAGCGCCACATTAATGAGGTATGCTTGTATTTGGTAACTTGTTCCTGTGACATTACTTCCTTTAGTCATTAGCATTCCTCAGCCTTTTGGTACCTTGTGACCCATGTGGGTCTAGTGCATTATTTTTTTTTTTTTTTTTTTTTTTTCACTGGCCGATTCCCACCAAGGCAGGGTGGCCCGAAAACGAAAAACTTTCACCATCATTCACTCCATCACTGTCTTGCCAGAAGGGTGCTTTACACTACAGTTTTTAAACTGCAACATTAACACCCCTCCTTCAGAGTGCAGGCACTGTACTTCCCATCTTCAGGACTCAAGTCCAGCCTGCCGGTTTCCCTGAACCCCTTCATAAATGTTACTTTGCTCACACTCCAACAGCACGTCAAGTATTAAAAACCATTGTCTCCATTCACTCCTATCAAACACGCTCACGCATGCCTGCTGGAAGTCCAAGCCCCTCGCACACAAAACCTCCTTTACCCCCTCCCTCCAACCTTTCCTAGGCCGACCCCTACCCCGCCTTCCTTCCACTACAGACTGATACACTCTTGAAGTCACTCTGTTTCGCTCCATTCTCTCTACGTGTCCGAACCACCTCAACAACCCTTCCTCAGCCCTCTGGACAACAGTTTTGGTAATCCCGCACCTCCTCCTAACTTCCAAACTACGAATTCTCTGCATTATATTCACACCACACATTGCCCTCAGACATGACATCTCCACTGCCTCCAGCCTTCTCCTTGCTGCAACATTCATCACCCATGCATTTTGTGATAACATATTTGGTGGCTACAGTGGACATGCAGTAAAAGAATTTTAATTATTGTTACTGTATAAAAGTTAAATTACCCAAGATCTGAAACACAACTGAAATCATTAAAATGAAAAATTATTAGATACTGCTTTAGATGGTTAAAATTGCTTTTCACTCGTACCCCTTTTAGTCATAAGTACTGTCTTAAGGTGCTCACAGGGACCTTGTAGAACTTGTAGGGAAGTCTTTTGATACTGCCAGTTTACCGTATATTTTAATGAGTTTTTATAACTTGTTGTGATAGTATTTGGTTTGTTATGCTAGTTGTTTCAATTTTTTATTTTAAATTTACCCTGGCTGTTCTTTGTTGTGCTTATATTTTTTGGGAGTGCAGAGTGATGTACAAAGTCAGTTGTCTTCAAATCTCTTAACATTCTTGTCCCCAGTCTTCTCAAAAAAAAAAACTAACATAGCATAATCCCATCGCACTCCTTCAGAAAATACTGTACACTTCTTTCCTGAAGCTGTTTGCATAGGTTAATCAGCATCAGTAATTACTGCTAATTTTTCACTTGTTACTTTATAGCTACATAGTATTTCTACTTAATATAGTATATATCTTTTAAAGAATGCACAGTATATAAAAGTACTAATATACCTTAAGGTAAGAATACAGCATAAGGTCAGCTTCCACACCATTGGTATCTCTCGTCTTTGAAAACTGTGTCAAGAGATCAGGTCGCTTCACACAACCATGGGAGTCTAGCAGTTCTACTGTTGCACCTCCTGCAGAGCTTGCGTTGCATGAAATGACATTTGCATCCATCTTTTGTGAAGGATCTACCAGAATATAAACAAATGTGTGAAAACTAGTATTATTTAGATATATTATCCATTTAATCAACACAAATTGTAAATGAAGAACCTGTACAGTATTCTGTACTGTACTAAAATTCTGTTTACTAAATGTGTTTATCAATGGTACTCTTAGAGCAGCATAAAATCACACAATGCAAGGTATATGAACCCAAAGTAAAATCTTAATACATATTAATTGGTTTACTGTCTTGTACTTAAGTACATACTGACAGTCTTGCGAAATTCCATTTGCTTATTATTAAGACTTAAATTTTAGAAAAGCCTAACTGGTAATACTGTATTTAAGTATAATGTACAATGTCTTGTTAAAACATGGTTATAACAGTAGGAATTTATTTACAAAAATAATTTCAGGTAATTGCAGATTAATTCATTCCTTAGTCTTTAAGTTGCAGGATAAAAAACCCATCAGTACTGTCAGTCCATAATCTCTGCAGTACAATACAGATCACTTCTAACACATCTGATAGGTCACTTGGTGAATCCTGACAAATGGCTAGTAACTTTTCCATGCAAATGACTAAACTGGTACAATAACTTGAATATATTATAAATTGTATATAATACTGACAAGTTAATGAGTAGGGCACATGTGCAACACTAGGTACGTATATGTATTGCCTTTGCTTTAGGCGAAGAGACTAACCATCTTTTTGCCTACTGTCTCCGTATTGTTATAGCCTGTTTCAACATCTTGCCAAGCTACTTTCAATTGCCCTCCTAGCCAAAAGCCCTATTTTCTTATGCAGACTCCCGACTTTTAACAAACTGAGTAAGTGAAGTTTCAGGTTCTGAGTGTTCAGGACCTTCGTCTTCCATAAGTAACTATATATTGTTATTACTATTATATTTATTGTTTCTTCTTTTACTGTTTTCCCAGCCCTACACAGCCCTTGCAAAGTTTTTGGCCTGTATTGGTGGCCAACAAATTCTCTAATCAAACTGCACTTGGGCTTCTGGCCATCCCTGATTTGTCAAAATGTGAAAGATTTTTCAAGTGACTTCACTGATCATATATACTCTTTTATTATGAGTACACACCTTTCTGCCTGCTTTCCTTTTCTATGGTTCACTGTAAATGAACTACACTCTCCTCCTTTGGATCAAACCTAATTACCTCCCACTATCCAGGCACTGTATAAATCCTATTCCTCGTGAATATAATTATCTGTGATTGGACCTTTAATTACCCTGCACCTCATTCATTCTCCACCCCTTCCCTTTACCTCACACCACTTAATGTTGGATGTATGCTTTTTTTTTCCCACCATCCTCTGCCTGTACCTTGCAGTCCTGAATGACCTTAGCTAGGTTTAGTGTTTGCCATGATTAGTATTCCAGTGCTTAGATTGTATATTTTGGATAGTATATTTATGGGAAACACTACACTCACAAGAGTTATATAGTGCCTGGGGGGGGGGAATGGAAGACAACCTAGGAAATGTTAGGTTCAATCCCTTGGCACAAGAGCCTCTAACCAACATCGAGAAATCTTCCTTGGGAAAATAATTTTGGATAATAAAATCAAATATAATAATTAAGTGTATAACTTAATAGCATCAACTGAAGAAAGTAATTTGGGAATATCAAACTACCTTAGGGGGGCAATTAATGGCAAGAAACTAATGTTGGTATCAGTTAGTTTCCTCAAAGGTGTTTTGAAAGCTGGTAAGGAGCTCTTGATCCAAGGCACTGGACTTAACCTCCCCTTCCTGGGATTGAACATTGCCACCCATTCCTAGACACTATATGACCCCTGCTGGTTTGGTGCTTCCCCCTGATAAAAGCTTCAGTGGACCATTAACTACAGAAACTGCTACAAAAGCTTTAGTGCTTCCTCCACGAAGCACTAAAGGAAAAATTAACTCCATAACCAGGAAATTTCTTGTACATTAAACAATATTGACACTAGCAGTTACCTTGGATATAAATAACAACAGAGGTATCATCACCCATGTAGACATAGCCAGTTGCAGGACTCTCAAAAGGTCCCGATCCATGTTGAATATCCATCAGTGTGTTTACTGACCGAGCATCAAGCTGTACAGGTACCTTTAGGAGCAAAACGTAAATTAATATTTCATGGCATTATGAGGTTACTATACTTATTCCCAAGGTACTGGATGGCCTTTATGGTAAGGTCAAACATTTTCTCATAGCAATGTATGAGCTTTGCAAGGTTGTTGCTTCCTTGTGAATAGTATAGTAATACTTTAACCTTCATCATGAATACACCAGTGAGGGGCTCTTAAGCCAAGGAAATGGACCTGCCCTTCCCTTCCTTGGATCAAACTTGAATGTCTTGCATTCCTACCCTGATGCTGCATGACCCCTACTGGTTTAGTGCTCTCTATGAATGTAATATCCCATGAATATAAAATTAAAGCACTAGTGGTAATTATGAGTCAACTTCAGTAATCAATAAACTTGTAAGTAAAAAAAAGTATGCAGGTACAATTACACATGAGTACAAAAAAAGTTTTGGGTGATTGCAACTGCCTTGCATGGTAATGTGTAAATTACTTTGGATAATCCATAAAAATCAAGTGACATTTCCAATGGGGTCCTTGTAATATTTTACTATTAGCAGCCTACCTATAAGATACAGCAGCAATCAGTCATGATCATAACCATAAAAAGAAAATACAGATAAACTGCATGAAATCAGTTACAATAAAGATACAATGGAGATAAGTAAACCGAGTAGTTTACACGAACATTAAATAGAAAAAATCAGCTTATTATGGTACATGAATGTTAACTATACAAAAAAAATCAGTTTCCTTCCTTTCTGAAGCTTCATTAGTCCCTCCTTGCTGATGGCTCCACCTTTGATATAGATTCCCTCTTTGACTTTTTGACAGCAACAGATTTATTACACAAACTTTAATGGTACTTCCTTTAGTGCTCCTCATAGTCCTTTCTAACTACCTCTGTTATCCTCTCCACCCTCACTAGTTTCTGATCAAGCAAACACCCTGCCCTGCAGTGCTGTATGACCCTTGTGGATTTAGCGCTTGGCTTTGATTATAATAAAATTAGTAAAATGGTTATAACTATGACCGTAATTTTTAAAGGGGTGGACCAGTAAGCCAGTGGAAGGCCTTGGTCAGATGACCAAAAGCTCCAGTGGCAGTTCATCAAATGACTAAGACCTGCATCAGGAAGCACTTGTCCTGTTTCCTGACAAACCTTACCAAACCAATCAATTTAACTTCATTAGAAATGTTTGTGCTCTTCCTGAGCTAATTTATACTAAGACTGGCCTTGACATTCCTCTCCTTTATTGCTGTATAGTAAAAGGTGTTTGAAGTCTGACCACCTATTATAGGCTTTATAAAACTGTGTTCACTTCCCTTAGTATTATACTGGTTATAGTTCCTAACCTTCACAAAATTTGCAGTGAGATATTCTGGACACTGAACAATTTTATGAACATGATTTAGTTTCAGCTGCAGTACCCTATCTTCAGCATTCAGCAATTCCAGTTGTAATTCATCCTGGCCTATATGTTCTCTTAGATTCAAGTCCAGGATGAATCTTGCCATATTATTCTGGATAATTTGGCATTTTTTTTTCTTCTTTGTTAGAAATAAGTACCATGAAGAACAAGAATAACCTACATGGCACTGTATGAGAGCTAGACATAAGGTCCTGTCAGCCTCATTAGGTAAGACACTGTGCCTGTCTACAGAACTTTACTGTATGACTCTTGTGGGTTTAGCACTTAGTTTTTGATTATATGTAATAATAATAATATAGAACTTTAACCTGGCATTTGCTTTTTCTAACTGCTAACTGTAACAACGTTGGGTAATGGAAGTCGGTGAATATGGACGCCCGCAAATTTGGAGGGATGGGTATGAGACTGTAGCCTCTCACGAGAGATTCCTTGATACCAGTGGGGCTCTTAATCCAAGGAATTGAGCCTATCATCCCCTTCCTTGGTTCAAACATGAATTCCTTCCATTTTCCCAGTGCTGTATGACTTCTACAGATTTCATGCTCTCCCCCTCCATCATATTGTAGTGGATATGGAGGCAAGCCTGTTAGCGAGAGCTCTGGATACTGTATTCCTTGTGAAATATTTGTTATTTTCAGGATACTGTGACGTATCATTACATGAATTAACTTACTTTGAGAGGTTCATACACTTTGAATGGCAAGAAATCAACACTCTTCTGAATGGTGTGTTGCCACGTGCAACGAATAGCCCGGGCTGTGTCCCAAACCTCTTGAATGAGGGCATCATTCTGGATGATGATGGTATTCTCGAAGTACATGTCTCGGTCAGGTGTGGCCATGTCTAGCTGCCCTGATGTACCACAGTTGTCTATGGGAACGTTGAACCTATAAGGAAGTAAAGATTGATCAAAGTTATTAATGAATCTGTAACCAACTGAGCTTATGTGGAAGTGGTCAACTAAACATTGTGTTAAAAAAAATAAAGGGGAAGGATTACTCATATAGAGGTCATAGGGCACTTGGGGAATAGAAGGCAAGAAAAGGGAAAACTAGTCAAAACCCTAACAAAACCCTAACATACAATGTCTGGGGAATGGGAGGTAATCAGGTTTAATTGAAGAAGGGGATCAAGAGCCCCTTACCTGAATCTAGGCATTGTCCTTGACAAAGTTTCATTATATTTTGGGGGAAGCTCTAAACCATTATGTGTCATTCAGTACCTGTGGGAAATGGGAGATAATCAAGATGGATAGAACAACAAGGATCAAGAGTTCCTTGTTGGCATCAAGGCAACTACCTTGAGAAGATAGAGCAATATTGGATGACTTGGAGGGTGTATATTGTTGCATGACCCTTGTCGGTTTAGTGCTTTCTTTGATAATAATTGGAGGGTGTATAACTCTGTAGTGGAGGGAAGGTGGGGTAGGTCATCCTAGAAAAGGATGGAGGGAGGGGGTCTGGACATGCAGCAGGCCTGTTCTAGACAGAAGTGAATGGAGACGAATGGTTTTTGGGACCTGACGAGCTGTTGGAGTGTGAGCAGGGTAACATTTTGAGAAGGGATTCAGGGAAACCGGTTACCCGGACTTGAGTCCTGGAGGTGGAAAGTACAATGCCTACACTTTAAAGGAAGGGTTTGGGATATTGGCTGTTTGGAGTGACATCTAAACTGTCCTATCTGAGTGCCTTGCAAAGACGGTGATTGTGTGAATGATGGTGAAAGTTTCTTTCTTGGGTCACCCTGCCTCTGTGGGAGACTGCCCTCTGCATGTTGAAAAAAAATGTATATAAATGCAGAACAACCACTGTGAAAAAAATAGTGAACTTCCAAGTGTTTTCATGATTCCTCACATTATCACAGTTCCTTGATAATGTGAGAAATCAGGAAAGTGCTGGGAAGTTCGCTATTCTTTTCACAGTAGTTCTGCATATTGTGATATACAATCGCAGACAGGTGATTTAACAATGTAAAGCAGGCCACTGGGGATGGAAATCTTCAGTTCGAGTCCCTGTTCTTCTGTTTATTCACTGGAAATCTTTCAGTACGACTTGTCTTGAGTATGTTTACCTGGAGTTTACCTGGAGAGAGTTCCGGGGGTCAACGCCCCCGCGGCCCGGTCTGTGACCAGGCCTCCTGGTGGATCAGAGCCTGATCAACCAGGCTGTTGCTGCTGGCTGCACGCAAACCAACGTACGAGCCACAGCCCGGCTGATCAGGAACTGACTTTAGGTGCTTGTCCAGTGCCAGCTTGAAGACTGCCAGGGGTCTGTTGGTAATCCCCCTTATGTGTGCTGGGAGGCAGTTGAACAGTCTCGGGCCCCTGACACTTATTGTATGGTCTCTTAACGTGCTAGTGACACCCCTGCTTTTCATTGGGGGGATGGTGCATCGTCTGCCAAGTCTTTTGCTTTTGTAGCGAGTGATTTTCGTGTGCAAGTTCGGTACTAGTCCCTCTAGGATTTTCCAGGTGTATATAATCATGTATCTCTCCCTCCTGCGTTCCAGGGAATACAGGTTTAGGAACCTCAAGCGCTCCCAGTAATTGAGGTGTTTTATCTCCGTTATGCGCGCCGTGAAAGTTCTCTGTACATTTTCTAGGTCAGCAATTTCACCTGCCTTGAAAGGTGCGTTAGTGTGCAGCAATATTCCAGCCTAGATAGAACAAGTGACCTGAAGAGTGTCATCATGGGCTTGGCCTCCCTAGTTTTGAAGGTTCTCATTATCCATCCTGTCATTTTTCTAGCAGATGCGATTGATACAATGTTATGGTCCTTGAAGGTGAGATCTTCCGACATGATCACTCCCAGGTCTTTGACGTTGGTGTTTCGCTCTATTTTGTGGCCAGAATTTGTTTTGTACTCTGATGAAGATTTAATTTTCCTCATGTTTACCATATCTGAGTAATTGAAATTTCTCATCGTTGAACTTCATATTGTTTTTTTGCAGCCCACTGAAAGATTTGGTTGATGTCCACCTGGAGCCTTGCAGTGTCTGCAATGGAAGACACTGTCATGCAGATTCGGGTGTCATCTGCAAAGGAAGACACGGTGCTGTGGCTGACATCCTTGTCTATGTCGGATATGAGGATGAGAACAAGATGGGAGCGAGTACTGTGCCTTGTGGAACAGAGCTTTTCACCGTAGCTGCCGGACTTTACTCTGTTGACGACTACTCTCTGTGTTCTGTTAGTGAGGAAATTATAGATCCATCGACAGGACTTTTTCCTGTTATTCCTTTGCACGCATTTTGTGCGCTATTACGCCATGGTCACACTTGTCGAAGCTTTTGCAAAGTCTGTATATATTACATCTGCATTCTTTTTGTCTTCTAGTGCATTTAGGACCTTGTCGTAGTGATCCAATAGTTGAGACAGACAGGAGCGACCTGTTCTAAACCCATGTTGCCCTGGGTTGTGTAACTGATGGGTTTCTAGATGGGTGGTGATCTTGCTTCTTAGGACCCTTTCAAAGATTTTTATGATATGGGATGTTAGTGCTATTGGTCTGTACCCCTCATGGAAGGTTCCTTGATGTTGGTGAGGGGCTCTTGATTTAGGGAATTGGAACTGTGCTCCAGTTCCCCGAATTAAGCCTGAATGCCTTCCACATCCCCCCCCCGGGCGCTGTATAATCCTACGGGTTTAGCGCTTCCCTTTGATTATAATAATAATAATATTGGTCTGTAGTTCTTTGCTGTTGCTTTACTGCCCCCTTTGTGGAGTGGGGCTATGTCTGTTGTTTTTAGTAACTGTGGGACGACCCCCGTGTCCATGCTCCCTCTCCATAGGATGGAAAAGGCTCGTGATAGGGGCTTCTTGCAGTTCTTGATGAACACAGAGTTCCATGAGTCTGGCCCTGGGGCTGAGTGCATGGGCATGTCATTTATCGCCTGTTCGAAGTCATTTGGCGTCAGGATAACATCGGATAGGCTTGTGTTAATCAAATTTTGTGGCTCTCTCATAAAAAATTCATTTTGATCTTCGACTCTCAGTCTGGTTAGCGGCTTGCTAAAAACTGAGTCATATTGGGACTTGAGTAGCTCACTCATTTCCTTGCTGTCATCTGTGTAGGACCCATCTTGTTTAAGTAGGGGCCCAATACTGGACGTTGTTCTCGATTTTGATTTGGCATAGGAGAAGAAATACTTTGGGTTTCTTTCGATTTCATTTATGGCTTTTAGTTCTTCCCGCGATTCCTGACTCCTAAAGGATTCTTTTAGCTTAAGTTCGATGCTTGCTATTTCTCTGACCAGTGTCTCCCTACGCATTTCAGATATATTGACCTCTTTTAGCTTTGAGGGATATTAGAATAGTATATTGTGAAAGCTTCAGGTTGTCTGAAGAGACAGTAGGGTCACACAATTGGCGCCGTTAATAAAGACAAATCACACAAATGCCGTCTGTAAACTAATTCTATTGTAAACTTTGTGCCTCCGTGGTTTATAAAAGCGTTGGGACTGCTACATGCCATTAGCATGGTTCAAGGTCCCATCCATTCTCTTCATTCGTTCATTACCTTCATTATATTCAGTACGTTATAAGGGAGTAAAGCAATTAATTTATGGTGTAGAAGTTAAGGCTGGGAATTGTGAATCATACGTCTGGCAGGGTCATCCGGCCCTGACCAGTAACCTCCCTGCCAGACCCCCGGCTATCTTATGTAACATTCTCATATAAGGTTTTGATTACTTTTACCAGCCTCAAGCCGTGTATAAAATATTATAATTCAACAGAAGAGATGTAAAATAGCAATAACAGTTATAATAATAAATATGGTGGTTTGTAGTTACATGTCACCATGGACTTTCAGCACTGCATATAGAAATATAATTTCCATTTTCCATGAGGTAAATTTCAACTTATCGGTTGATGATGCCTGTTCTTGAGGTCGCCAATATAAATTTACTCAAATGTTTGAACAGTTCTTTGTAGTTACGGAAACAATATTATTTATAAAAAAAATAAAATGAGGCTTTCACGATTCATCTACTGCAAAAAAAAAAAAGTTAAGAAACGTTAATTAAATTCCTCTAATATAAGAGATGCAATCTGTTTTACTTAGTAATTAAATCCCAGAAATATATGGAAAATTATTTAAGGAAAACATGAATTTACTGCAAGTCAAATGACAGCTACGATTCATAAATAAAAGATTCGTACTTGTGACGCTACTTATTTACGTAGTAAAACCAATGTGTGTGCGTTAGTGTGTATGTGTGTGGGGTACTCACCTATTTGTGGCTGCAGGGGTCGAGACACAGCTCCTGGCCCTGGGTGAGTGTGACACAATGAGGTCAACGACATCATAAAGAGAACCCTTTGCTATACAGCTGGATGCCCAGCCGAGAGCCCCGATCACTAGCAGCCAACAATACTCACAACCCAGCAAAACCGCCCTGACGGGATCTATCCTTGGAAGAATGGCAAGCTCTTAGCATGGGACTATACCTGTGTGTCCACACTGGCTGACACCTATATCCATCACAGTGTGGGGCGACAGGGAGGAGCTGCTGACAACAGGGAGGAGTACAAGATCAGCAAGTGCAGGGACATAAGCCAACAGTTATCAATTTGTCCCAGTGGGATCAGAGACCTTGGGATCATGGGGAAAAAATGCCACACGTTTCCTTAAAGAATTGGGTTCCAGACTCATCGACACCACCAGGGACCCAAGGGCAGCCACTTTCATGTTCCAGCGCCCCAGCGTGGCCATCCAAAGGGGAAATGCTTGCTGCATACTTGGCTCGCGTCAACCTCGGAGGAGCTGGAGGAAATTCATGATCTTTAATACACTGTACCATTGCATTCATGTTTATGTTTTTCTGTAAATGTATTCTGTTTATTAATAAATGTTCACACAGAATATATATATATATATATATATAT